GGGGGGGGGGGGGGGGGTTCGCTTCTTTTATCTCCTTCCCTTTTACGTTTCCGGTTTGTCCTGTTCCTTGCATCCTTTTGCTTTCTTTGGTGGGGTTCGGCTCGCCGTGCACACAAATTCACTCGTGAGTGACTAATTGACGTGGTGTTCTGTGGTGATGTATGGCGTGTAGGCGGGATGGGATGGCATACGGACGAACAAATGGGTAGCTGTCTGTGTGCGTGCTGATTGTGTGCACGTGGGCGGGCGGGCAGGGGCTTCCCGACATGTTACGAGGTGTCGGCAGCATCACACAGTAGCGGTTCGTGTTGTCTTTCTCGTGTAGCCGGTAGCGGCATAGCCGGGAGACGCTGGCGGTAGTACACTGTCCCAGTGCAAGAGGGATAGTTCGTGTGCTGAATGTTTGTCGTGCTGTCTTGTGTCGTGATGTGTGGTGTGTGGCCGGTCCTGGAATATGGCTCCGAAACAGTGAGCCGTTGACAGGTCGCCAGGCATACGTGTATGTGTACGGGTGTGAGCCGTGACGATTCATTGTGGGCGGGACACACTGACATCCTACAAGGGGATGAGAACACTGAATAATCATGATATCGAGGAAAGTCACGCGCTCAAACCAGCACTTCACTTGTGTATCGACGAGTCACATGCAAGAGACACAACCGATCCTCGACAAGCGCTCAAGAGACTTGTCGCCTCAATCCGCTGCAGCGTTGGTCGAATCGTTGGTTGACTTGCGTAAGGCTGCGTTGTCTGTTCAGTTTGTCTTCGTGCGAGCACATTCGATAATGTACGTGGACTGGTCTGCTTTCTGCTCAACGGAAGTCTGCTTTGTGCTCTTTCTGATAATTGCTGTGGGCCTCTCCCGTCTGACATGTGACTAGACGACACGCAGAAGTACCAGATGATACTTGCCATCAGTCTCCGCGCACACACGAAGGCTCTTGTCCGTCTGTGTCTCTGTGTGTCATTTATGGCCACTGAGTGAAAAAGAGGCACCACAGCTGCACACCCACCCGCCCCCCACCACCCGATGCATCCATCCATCCATCCATCCAGACGGCCGTAGGCCAGACAGCCAGCCAGTCTATATGGTGATGGGATGCGGCACCGCCATCGCCTCGTCCGTCTCGACTGCCGTCAGTCTGCTGCTGTCGGCCTGGTCCCTCTCTGCCTCGGGGCCCTCCTCATCATCCATGTCGCCGATGCTCTCGACGCGCAGCCGCAACACGCGCTTGTCGTCCGCGTCGATCACCTGCAGGACAGGCACGCAGGCAGAGGAAGGAAGCAATGGATGGTGGATGGTGGGTGGGTGGCGTACTTACTTTGAATGAGTAGCTGCCGATGAGGAGGTAGTCGCCCTTGTCGGGGATGCGGCCCGCTTCGTCACACAGATAACCTGACCGATGTGCCCGCAACGTCAGATAGTGGATTGATTCGTTGTGTTGTGTTGGGCTGTGTGTGGGTGTGTGGGCGGCCTGCATGCCTGATAGCGAGTTAAATGACGAGAGGCTCTCTTCGTCGATGTCGAGGCCGAGGAACTTCTCGACGGCCCGAAGGTCGGCCGCCCCGCTGATCTCGTAATAATGCTCGGCCTCGTTGTGGATGATCATGTCATCCTCCTCCCTGCACACACACATACACACAGACGCACACATGCATCGACCAACGTCTGTGTTTTGGTGGGTGGGTGTGTGGGGTGACTGACCTGAAGTCCTCTTCGTCGTCTTCGTCGTAGATGTCGCCGACGACCTCCTCGAGTATGTCCTCGAGCGTCACGATGCCCGCGGTGCCGCCGTGTTCGTCGACCACGATGCCCATGTGGAACCGGTGACGGCGCATCTCTTGCAACACGTCCCATGCTGCCTGCACACACAAGAAGACACACATGGATGTCACCGGTAGTCTCTTCCATATGCGTACCATCATTTCGTAGAAGAAGTAGGGTTTGTCGCGTTCGGGGTGCATGATCGCCTCAACTGACATGCACACACATATACAGATGTAAGCGATTCGGCGGTCAGTCTGTGTGTCCGTGTGTTCTACCGGTGGCGGTTTCCAGGTTCCTTGGGTCGTTGAGGTACCGCAGCACGTTCTTGAGCTTCACCACACCCACGATCCTGATACACACACATGCATGGCAGATGCCCAAGCTTTGCAGTGATTGCGCTCTCATCATTCGCTCACTGGTCGATCTCGCCATCATACACAGGGATGCGGGAACAGCGCGTCTCATAGGCCTGACCACACACACATGCACGTCCGTGCATACATATGGTGTCTCATCCTGACTGGCCGGCTGACCAATTGCAGGAGCTCCTTGAGCTTCCGCCTCCTGTCGATGGCCACAACATCGACGCGCGGCCGCATGACTTCGTTGACCTTCTTGTCCTCCAGCTTGAGCACCGACTCCATCATCGACCCCTCCTCCATCTGAATGCCCCCGCTCTCCTTTGCACCCAGTATCATCAGCCGCAGCATCTCCTCTGACACGCCGTCGCCCTTCTTGGGGTCAAGACGGAAGAGCTGCAGGATGAGGGTCGATGCCCGAGTGAAGAGGCCGCTGATGGGCCGCAGCACGCTGCTGATAAGGATGACAGGGCCGACCATCGACCGCGCCACCACCTCTGGCTGGCTCACGCCGAGGGCCTTTGGCAGCAGCTCAGCGAAGAAGACAGTCAGCAGGGTCAGCACGCCCGACGCGTAGGTGACTGATTTCGGCCCGAATGCCATGAGCATGACGTTGGCGAAGAGGCCGGCGCTGAAGATGGTGCAGGCGGTGGTGGTGACGAGGATGGCGAACTGGAAGCCCAGTATGTCGTTCATCAGCTTGGCAAACGGGCTGGTAGGGCCCTCCTCCTCGGCAAACTCCTTGATCTGCAAGCAATACAAAGATGATTCACAGAGACAATCAAGTCGGTACATTTCATCGCAAGCGCACCTTCCATGGGTACAGATTGTCCACGGCCTTCTCTGCCGCGTGGAAGGCGGCAGACAGCAAGAACAACGCGAGCCACGTCATCGAATCGAGCGCCAGCCGCTGTGGCGTCGCAGACACACTCCCAGCAGCCGATGACACCCTCCCACCGGCCAATGCGAGCCGACGGGCGAGGGGAGAGTGCAGCGGCGATGCGAACGCAGGCAGCGCTCTCCCCGATGCAAGAAAGACGAACAGACCAACTGCCCCTGCAGTGAGTGGCTGCGCGATTCTTCTCATCAAGGACGGCTGGAGGACACGGGAGGAGGGGGACGGGGATGCACTCGCAGTGCGATGAAAGAGGGACCGCTTGCGCCGTGCTGTTGCAGGGCTCCTTGCTGGCCGATGATTTTGCCGCGGGAAGAGCGGCGTGAATGACAAAGAACGCCTCGGTGATGTGTCCGCGGATGCTGGCGATGCCGCAGGGATGCTGCTGGCGCACACGACGGCACCGCCGAACGCAACGAGCCGCATTGTCGAAGAGCTGTGTATGATCAGCGCCAAAACAGTCAAGATCTGCAAGATCCCAGCATAAACGAAGGCAGATGACGCCTCTTTTTCATCTCACGCCGAAACCCTCAAGAGGGCTGCGAGCCGAAGGGCTTCGAGGGGTCAAAGGATTTGTTACCCTGTAGCCTTAGTCCCGAGGCGGCGTTTTGTGCGCCTTGTCGGACAGCTGTGCGTTGTGGGAGTGAGGCACTCGGCCGACAAGAGGGCGAGAAGAGTCACTCGAGTCAGTCGTCCTCTCGACTGCTGCGCGGTGGCGGGCCGTTGAGCTGACAGACGTGAGGGAGGCCCAACACTCACTGACTCACTCACTCACTGACTGATGCGCTCATCCACTCCCTTCAATGAATGCGTTGGCCTCTCTGTCTGTCTGTCTGTCTGTGTGCCTCTCTCTCTGTGGGTCTGTCAGCCCATCGGTGCAGTGTGGCTGAGGAGCGATGGCGGCCTCCTCATCTGCCGCTGGTGCTGGTGCTGGTGGTGTTGACTCATTGACCTCTGTCTGATCTGTCCATCTGAGCATCGGACGAGGTGAGCAGCACACAGATCTGTGAGCAGCATGCTTGATGCACACAATCCTCTGTCGGCTCTGTCGCTCTGTGCAGCCTCTCGTCGAGCGCCTCACTCATGTGACCGTCTTGGCCCATCCATCTCATGCAGCACCAGGAGCAGCAGCAGCAGCACCCCGTGTCAAACCTGTGTGTCGGCCGGAGGAGCCGCTACCTCCTCAGCGTCAAGGACGTCGTGCGGCTGAGGGCCACCTGCACGTGGCTCAGAGTGTGTTGTGTGTGTGTGTGTGTTGTCAGGAGGGCATCTCAAGTTGGGTGCTGCTGTCGTCATTCATCTCTGTCGCCGCTCGGTTTGTTCTTCAGGACACATCGCCCACCGCTCAGCGTGTGGACTAGCTGCTGCTGCTGTGTGAACGAATGGCTGGCGTGGCTCTGATGGGTGTCAGTCAGTCGGCATTATCGTCGCACGCTAATGCCTGTCTGCCTGTCTATGTGTCATGATAAACTCCATTATCTCGAGGGCAGACACGCAGGCAGACACCGATAGTCTCATGTGATTCAATCGATTTGATCTCACACTACACTTGTCAATCCCTCATGTCATCACTTACATGCATACACAGACAGATACTCAATACTCAGACGCACACATACGATTAAAGCTCAAATGCACTCGATCAGAAAAAGAGATTCATACATGGAGAGGGACAGGGCTCGTTGGTGTTTTCATCTGTCTGTCTCTCTATCCATGACACGCGCAGATGTGTATTTGCGTCTGTCAGTCTTTGTTTGCCATACAGGTACTCGTCTGTGCGAAAACTGTCTGTGCGAAGGAGGTGATTGATAGCGCATTTAATAAAGACTCATCCCAGAAAATATTTGCCTACCGTTTGCATCCACTCACTTGTATTGTATTCATCGCCACGTGTCATCTTTCGGTCCACACGAATCGATCGGAATTATACACATGCTCCCACATGCAGTCAGACACTCATTCACCCGTCGTATCTCTCCCAGCGTGCCTGTCTGTCTGTCGCCTCGCTAATACTAACCAGAAACAACTTTTTCTAGCAACCTCTCTTTTTCCGTTCCAGTGACCTCTTTCTCTTGCTTCTCAGCCTGAAGCGGCTCTGCCTTCAGCTCGCGAGCACCATTGGTGAACGGGAAGATGAACACCGCCAGGATAGAAGCCGCGAATTGCACAGCCATGAAGCCGAACAGCCGCGTGGCGGTGGCGTCAGTGCCTCCGGTGCCGATCAGGTGGGCCACAGCGATGCCGAAGGTCACACAGGGGTTCAGATATGCCGGTGCGATCGAGCCTGCACGCGCCACACCACAAGCACATCCATAAGGCACGGGCAAGGAATTGATGCACTCTTTCTCTCACTGACCTGCCGAGTACGCCGCTGCCACGACCGTGAGGGCGATCACACCGCCATTGAAGAAGCCGCCGCTGAGCTTCGAGTCGGCCTGGCACGTGTTGATGTTGAGGATGACCAGCACAAGGATTGCCGTCCAGATGACCTCAAAGCATGCGGACGCGCCATTGAACTCAAACAGAGGCACCGAGCCGGGCTTGAGTGTGAGGAGGTAGAAGGTGACGGCGGCGAGGGATGCGCCGAGGTACTCTGCCAGCCATATCCACAGAGCCTCGTGGGCAGTGATAAGCTTCCGGCCCAGCGTCAGGAACGCCAGCGTCACCGAGGGATTGAATTGCGCCCCTGACACGAACAGAAAAGGGGCGATATCGATGGCAGCATATTGGGTGAGGCTTACTTGAGACCGAGCCGAACATGTAGATCATGTTCATCAAAATGGCGCCCACAGCGATAGGCCCCAATGGATTGGCTTGGACTGCATTCAGCCCTGCAGTTGACCAGTCGCATATCCACACAGTTGACCCAGGATGAAGGTGAAGTCTCTTGTCTGTATGCCCCGTCTTACTTACCTATGGTGAGCATCAGTGCATACGTGCCAAAAAGCTCGGCTGCGAACTTCTGCCACAGTTTGTGGCTCATTGGCGAAGGCAAGGGCGAGGGAGGCCGCTGCCGGAACCGGGACGAAGAGACGGGCCGTCTTCCCTGCTGACTCAGGATTTCCAATGGATCACTTCACGATATCTCTAATGCCGATGAGCCAAGGCCTCCGAAGATGCTGGAGAAGCAGGAACTCGAACGGTCGGCGGCAGCGATCGTCTGCGAGCTCAGTTCGAATGAGCTCGCACTGAGCCGGGAGCATTTCTGCTTGGCGCACGCTGACGAGGCAGCAGTGAGGAGCAGAGAGGCGCCGGCAAACGCACATATGCAACGAGCATGGCCTTGCGGCTGTCGCCTGCGAGGCTGGCGGTGCCGAAGAAGCGCGGGACCATCCAGGTGGCGCGTAAGAAGCGGCTGGTGCAGTTCTATGACGCCCTGGACGGCCACTGGAAGAGGCGGCGGGAGTGGTTCTATCAACGCTTCCACGTGATGCCGCTGATGCCCAACCAGTACATGCAGACGCAATTCCGCTTCCCTGGCTTCTGGCCTGGCAGGTGCTGTACACAGCTTACATGTCAGCCACATGTGTGATCTGATCTGCCTCTTTCTGTGTGTGTCGTGATTGCAGGTTCGTGTACCAGATGAGCGAGGCGCTCATCGCTTCAAGGCAGGCGGACAAGACGGAGGAGACCGCCAAGGCTTTTGAGCAGTTTGACAGGGAAGGGAAGGCCGTCACCAGGAAGCTGAGATCCAAGGACAAATAATGATAGTCAAAGCAGAATGACCGGTGGACGCAGGCAGGCAGGCAGGCAGGCCGCCGGATGCTGTGCATGGTGAGAGATCTTTTGGCAGAGAGAGTGTCAGTGTGTTCTTTGTCTTCGTGACCGTGTTGCACTCACTGTACAGCTGAATGAATGAATGAATGACACTGACCGACAGTGGTGTGAACACTCAGTGTACAATATGTACGATCGAATGGATCGCATACGTTCATGCATACACATGTATGTACTCTCACAAACACACAAACGTCAACTGACAGGCAGGCAGACAGACAGGCAGCTCTCATCGATCATTGATTGATCGACCACTCACTCACTGACTATCCATCCCATCAATCAAATCATCGACCACATGGCCATGAGTCGCGCCTTGCTTGTCTTCATTGCTGTGCTGTCTGTCACGAGCCCCGCCCATGGCAGGTTCTTCCTGGCGGCTCACTCACACAGCAACGCCGACGCCTCGGCCGAGCCAGACGGAAAGGTGGCCAGCCTCCGCAAGCAAATCAACCAACTCGGCAAGGTGAGTGAGTCAAGAGAGGAAGACCGACAGGCAGACAACTCACTCGATCATGTGTCTGCCTGTCGTCTGCAGGCTGTTGACGATTTGCACAGCATCATCGCCAAAGCCGTCCAAGCCCAAGTGACACAACACAAATACACAGAGCCGCTCACGTCGTGTGATTTTTGTTTCTTTGGATCAATCGACTGATTAGCGTGAGGAGGAGGCGGCCGATGTCGAGCCTGAGTCGATGAAGGCGGCGTCCACAGAGCCACTCGACGAAAAGATCGCACAGACAAAGGTCAGTCGCCTTGCAGAAATGTTGATTGGCTCATGTGTCTTGCATTCATGCATGAAGGCAAGCGAGGAGGCCAAGCGTGAAGGTCGCGAAGAGGAGAAGAACCTCAAACGCAACGACAAACGCGCAAAGCGTCTGCAGAAGGAAAAGGGTAACACACCTCGTCTGCATGAAATGAGGCGCCGCTCTTGCATCACTTTGTGTGTGTCCATGCAGACGAGGAGCTGGAGAAGATCGACGCTGCGGTAGTCACTTTACAATTCATCCATTACTGTGACTGTTTGTTGTGTCACACGCACACACAGGTACACGAGGCCGAGAGGGCGGCTGAAGACGAGGCCATCCAACAAGCCAAAGAGGCCACAAATGCCACAGAAAGTGACCAACCCATCCCACCACTGTCTGTGTATCTCTGTGTCTATGTGTCTGTTCAGAGTTTGTCTGCGGACATGGAGGCGAGCGAGCATGCAAAGGTCAACGAGGAGATGGCCAGCGAGAGGACGCTGTCGAAGCTGAGTGAGCACGTCGCCCACAGCAAACACATGACCGAGCAGGCCCTCAAGGCAAAAGGTCTAAACTGCACCCATGCATCCATCCACATGTCCATCCATGACATGTGTGTTGGGCGGCATGTGTGCAGAGCTGATGCACAAGGCCCACGAGGACCAGCGACAGGCAGTCAAGACAGCCATGAAGCGAGCAAAGGCACAAATGGTCGGGCGGGCGGTGCATGAGAGAACGAGACACGCCCATGCAGTGGATATCTCTCTCTGTGTGCATGTCAGGTGGCGGAGGCCAAGGAGATCCAAGCCGAGGCGTGTGGCTTCGCGAAGCAGTAAATCGCAGAGAGGGCGGCTGCCCGCCTCGAGGCGCAGAAGGACATTGACATGGCCCGCGCGCACAAGGCATCAGCCGCTCACTTCATGGCCGTTCCACCATCACCAGAAGAGGAAGACAAGAAGCCATCAGGTCGGGTAACATATCACCAACACACGCCATCCATGCAGACGCCATACTTGTGTGATGCATGTGTGTGTCTGTGTGTCTGTGTCTGTCGGTGTGTGCAGAGGTGTGTGACGAGGAGGCGGCTGCCAAGGAGGCGGCAAAGAAGGAGGAAGACCATGAGGTCGAGGTGATGCCCCCGCCATACGTCGAGGAGGAGGCACACGCCGAACCCGAAGAAGCGCACCACAAAGCACCGACGACGGTGAGGACACACACAAGTTGACCCTCACCCACCTGTGTGTCTATGGATGGCTGTGGATGGATGTCTCTGCGTGTGTTAGTTCACTTTGGTGTACCCCTTCGTGTTTGTCGGCGGGGTCCTCCTGCTCCTGCTCGCCCTCATCACAGAGGTGTGAGGCTTCGGCTGAGTGACGATCGGTCAGTAAATCATTCAATCCCTCATGTATCACCGTGCGATTGGTCTACATCCGATCAAAAGGTACGACGGCTTGGCTCACCTATCTACATCCATATCGCCTGACTCATCGCCTGACTCATGGAGTGACTCATCGCCCGACTCATCGCCTGACTCATCGCTCCCCTCTACGTATTCATCATCATCCTCATCATCATCCTCGAGCATCATCGCCAGACCGTCCATGTCGGTCCACCCCGAGCCGCTGAAGGGTTTGCCCATCGAGAATGTTGTGTTGGCGATGTAGGTGTCACTCCATGTGTTGTCGTTCTCATACGCATACTCTGTAGCAACCAACCATCACATGGGTGAACACCGATGTGGTGCTGTGTTCGTGTCGACATGAATCGGCGTACGTTGGTGCATGTCGTCCGAGAAGGGGCGAACCTTGCCAGCCACTCGGCCGTCGAAGGTGTGACGGGTCTTGTACACGGGCGCCTGTGATACATGGGCACACACATTGACACACCCAGAGAGTCTTGCTACGTCTGTCAAACACCTTTAGCGGCAGCTCGTAGACGTGCTTGGCGATGCGCTTGTAGTCGGCCTTGGTGCTGCGAAACTTGGTCTTGTTCCACCCAGAAGGCTTCTTGCCGTCGCTCCACAGCGCATCGATGGCCGCCAGGAGCAGCTGCACACATGCGCACAGACATGCATCAAATACACGATGCGTGTTGGCCGCATTGTCTAACCTGTAGGCCCGAGTGCTGCTCTGCCAGCCGTGTGACCTCCTTGACGATGCGCTTGTATGACAGCCTGGGTTGGATGCGGGGCAGGTACTTGCTGCCTTGCACCGCCAGCAGAATCGAGATCGTTCGGTAGACATCTGGTGCAGTGAGAGCGACAGACACACACACACACACCCACACGCATACACACAACAAACACACACGTCTGTCTCCTCTCTCGTCTGTGTTGCGTGTGTGTGTGTGTCTGACAGGCTCACCGATGCGTCGAGTGTCAAACTGTTTCTTCGTCCTCTGAAGCATCTTTTTGCGAGTGAGCCGAGCGGTCTTGCCGTGCCACATGCCAAAGTCCACCTGTACCACACACACAAGGCACATGTTGACCGCTTGCAGCACAGTCCATCTCTCCGTACAAATTGTGCATCTCCGTGGATCATGTTGTCAGTGTCAGGTGTGTCGTAGATGATGTTCAAGGATGACAACGCCGGGAGCTGCCAGTGGATGCCCTCGGTCGGCGGGAAACGTCCATGTGTCTGTGCATGACTGCGTCGAGTGTCAAACTGTTTCTTCGTCCTCTGAAGCATCTTTTTGCGAGTGAGCCGAGCGGTCTTGCCGTGCCACATGCCGAAGTCCACCTGTACCACACACACAAGGCACATGTTGACCGCTTGCAGCACAGTCCATCTCTCCGTACAAATTGTGCATCTCCGTGGATCATGTTGTCGGTGTCAGGTGTGTCGTAGATGATGTTCAAGGATGACAACGTCGGGAGCTGCCAGTGGATGCCCTCGGTCGGCGGGAAACGTCCATGTGTCTGTGCATGACACACACACACACACACACACACAGAGAGAGAGAGAGAGAGAGACAAACACAAACCCTCCCATCCACATACGTGTGTGTGAGTGTGTGTGTGTGTGTGTGTGTGAGTGCGCACAAGAGTGGATGCCGCCTCTGTGTGCTGACCAGGCAATATCGAAGGATCCACTGACACTGGTGTTCTCCCTCTCCAGGGCCGATGAGTACCTTGACGGAGTCCTTAGGGTAACCACACCGCTCCAGGACCCCCGGTAGTTGCTGCACACATCAATTGGAGACATCCCCGCTGACCTCACCGTCGAAGTCGCAATACGTGGCGATGCGCACCTTTCGTAGAGTGAACAGCCAATTCGCCAGTTTCTTGTATGAGCATCTGCGCGGTTTGGCGAGCGATGGGTTGCCGTCGTTAACGAGCGCCTGGCAGAGAGAACACAGGAACACATACACTGGTGTACACGTATGACTCCCATTAACTCGCTTACCACTTTGGTCCCTTGACTGAGTGGCCACCTGAACTTGTCGACTATGTACTCTGCCATCACCTTCGTGCCTTGGGACATCTGCTGTTGGAAATCAACCGCGTATCCGGTGGCCTGAGTCACACACACACACCGGCACACCCGAGACTTGGCTGACGGTCAGCTCTCCCTTGTCTGTCAGAGTCGGTCAGCTCACGTCTGAGATGATGAGTGCCGGTGGATCACCCACATCCCAGTGAACGTCCACGAAGTCCTTTGGGTCGACGACACCAACTGCACCACCACCCCCTCGCAGCGCACGAGTGCCGCGAATTGCGGTGGGAGCGAGCGGGAAGACCTCCTTGACGGCTTTCTTCATGTTCTTCTTCAGCATGTCGTTCTCGTGCTCGACGTGGGAGATCCGCATCTTCGCGGCGACAAGCTCATCGGTGACCGTCTTGAGCCTGCTTTTGAGGGAGTCTTTCTCGTCGTCCGCGATGCCCATGACCTCATCCACGATCTCACCTTCTTCTCCATCACCCACAATCTCACCATCTTCAAGGTTTGCCATGGCGATGAGTTACTGCCAGATCGGCGACCTCAGCCTCCGCGAGCTTGAGCTCGCGGTGTGTGCAAAGATCTTTCCTATCTCTCTGCGTCTGTGCGTCGTCACCCATTATCGATGGTTCATGGATGATGATATGCAAGACTGTGAAGAGTCTGAAGTGAATGGTGGTCATTTAATGCATCTTCACACGTGTCGTGGTGGCCTCCATGAGCCCTCAAAGCCCCTTGGAAAAATTCGCAAATATGTACATACATGGCCGCCGGACAGCCGTTCTCAGCTTGCTGTGCATGTACAAACCGCCGTGGTTGACACTTATGTACACACATCCCTGTCTGTACACAAGTGCACAGAGTCAGCAAGTCAGCTTATCGGCGAGTTGACAATTGACGGATTGTGAGTGAGAAACGACATGCAGTACCATCACTTCGGTGCCGGTGACTTCGAGGCTGACCGCTTCCTCGGCAGACATGAGTGGTGGGGCGAATGCAACGACTGCGTCAAGTTGATTGTCTCCAACATTTCGCCCGTGACGCAACTCGACTCTGGCGTCAAGCAAAGCAAAAAGCGGCGACTCGAGGTATGCAGTGACAGTCAGAGAGACAGAGGCACAGCACTCACTGCAGAGAGATAGAGACACATACACACAGAGACATGACATGACAATGCACTGTGTGTCTTCAGTTTGACGCACATTCCTGCGTTTGTGTGACCGGTCTGCCCAACCTCTCGTCCCAGCTGATGCACACACACACAGAGAACCTGTTCGCCTGGACCGAGGCCATCCGTGTCGCCAACTCCATCAAGTCAACGTACCAGGAGATCAAGTCCATGCTGCCGCAGGATGACTGGAGCTACCTGATCAGGGCAGAGTGGACCTCCACTGGCAGCCTCAGCCGCATGTCAGCCGAGACACGCACACGGCTTGACGCACACACTCGACATGAATGTGTGTGTCTGTGTGGATGTTGACAGTGCTCAACGTATGGCCGACGTGGTCGACGCGCGTGTGATGACTGAGGAGGCCCTGTCACCCGGCGCTGTCTCTACTGTAAGTGCCGGCGACGCTTTAAGTGTGTGGGGTTGTGTGCGTGGGTGTCATGTGGTCTCACGTTCATGCAGGTCGTGTCCAGCCCACTGTTCGAGGGAGCCGTCAACATGGACGACGCCTACATCGACCAGATGCCCGACGAGCAAGCGGTGGGTGCGCCGGTCCGGGCGTTTGACCTGCAATCATCTCTCTGTGTGTGCAGGCTGTCGCCTCATCGGTGCTGCAGGTCTGTCTGGTCGGCGCAGCCCTGTTCGAGACCCATCAGCAGTACAAGAAGATGGTCGAGGGCGTCATCGAAGGTTTGCACCGCACGAGAGAAAATGGTGTCACCAACATGTGTGGTTGTCTCTGGTCGTGTCTGCAGTGCAGCGCCACAGTGACGTACCAGGCGTGTGGCATGCGGTCGCCAACAGACGATATGGCGACATCGAGCAGTGGGTGGTTGTCGTGGAAGCCGACGAGAGTGGTCGCAGGCGCAAGGAGCTCAAGTTTCGCCTACCATACCTCGATGAGGGCGAAATGCAGGTGGGTAGCATAAGACAGGCCTGAGTTAGGCATAAGACAGGCATAAGACAGGCCTTAGACATAAGCTGCCGTGCATGTCTGAGTCAGGCATACGCCGAGTCCTGTGCTGATCCGAGATATGTGGCGAAGCGGCGAGGGAATCGCAAAGCAAAGCGAGGATCAGGTGAGACCACATGACATCCATCCATCCTCATGCCCCTCTGACTGTATGATTGTCTGTCTGTCTGTCTGTCTGTCTGTATGTATGTAGGTGTGTCTGTGTCAGGCTGCTGAGGACAAGGAGCGCCACGAGCATGTGCGACAAGAGAGGACAAGAGACATACCAATGAACTGACCATCGCACAAACAGACAGACCAGCTGCGTGTGAGTGACCAGCTGCGTGTGAGTGACCTGCTGCGTGTGACTCTCGTAAAGTGGATGTGCCCATCAGTCATCCAACACCGATCGTCTGTTTGTGGATTCGGTTGGCATGCCATCTTCGAAGGAGATCTGCCCTCTGCCCTCAAAGACAGAGGGACAGAGAGAGAGGCTCATATTCAGTGTGCCCAGCCTGCGCTGAATGTACACCGATGAGTCAGTCGGCTGCGGAGATTCGCGTCAATGAACATCATGTATTGGATGATTTGACTGATTTGACTGACTTGTGCGTGCGATTCAAGGTGTCAACATGAGCGACACGTGTCTGTGTGTTGGTGTGAATGGTCAATGTGAATTATCAATATAGTAATATGCTTATACAGGGGGGGAAATAGCAGATCTGATGTTGTTTAGATGAAGAAAAAATAGTGTCCGCTCCTCCATCCATCCATCCGTCCATAATCACCTCATACACTCATGCATGTAGACGTAGCTCACCCTGCGGACGGACCGGCCGACACCAATGAACCAATCGCTCATGGATGCGCACTCACATCAGACAGACAGACAGACAGAAAAACAGCCAAGACCCTTCCTCTGGACAGATACACGCGACGCAGGTGCGTGCGTGTGCTGTGCTGTGCCCCCATGCATGTGTCATCGAGTAGTGACTAGCAGCAATGCACGAAGGCCCACAGGCGGAGAGTCAGGCGGGGAGGCAGAGAGGAGGCTGGGCAAAAATTCAGCCACGGGACGTTTGGTGGGAGAGAGACAAGTGGTAGTGAGGAAGGCAGTGGTCGTCAGTAGTATACAGGGAGATAGAGAGATAGATAGATGGAACCGTTGGGCAGCGAGTGTTCATGGTCTGTCGGTACTCGTGTGCACGTGCATGTCGGGTGCGTTTGATACGCGCCGCTGGTAATGGAGGCGAGTCAGCACACGCCTCCGCCATGCCCGTGCACACAAGTCGTATCAACAGACCCTCACACATACTCCACAAGGGTGACAACAGACACGCTGTTGATGTAGGTGCACCACGGCATACACGCATCCACGTGCTCACATGACAGCGGCCAAACGTAGATGGAGAGCCAGATGTCCTGGTCTGGCGCTCCACATACACCCCGACCGCGCCACGCGCACACATGGATGCAATGCCATTCCGTCGTGCAACGGCAGCAAATGACAAGAGAGATCAGCAGGGTACAAGCAGTCCTATATCACGTTTGAGCAACCAGAACCAGAAATTGCCCTCTCCTCTCTCTGCACGCCCGCCTGCCTGCCTGCCTGCCCGTCCTGTCCCTCTCTGCGCCTCTCCTCTTTCAAAGCACCCATGACACCGACAGTGACAGCTCGCTTGAAAACGCCCCCCATCGGCCCACATATGTGCCCGCCCAGCAAAGGAAACAGACGTGATGTGATCGGTACGACATGAGGCGAAAAATGCCTGTACGTGTCATGTATCAGTCCCTTGGTCACCCCTCACTGCTCTCTGGCCCGCTTCTGAGGCAGCACGCTCTTGCCGCCAGCCATGTCCGTGTCGCCTTCCATGACCGGGTCGTCTGCTGCTGCTGCTGCTGGTCGTGGCTGTGAGGGAGCTGGTGCGTCGGCTCCCTCGAAGCGCACCTTGTTCTCCTCAGCTCGCAGGCGGGCCGTCATGCTGTCACTGGACATGGCTACCGTCGCCGCCGCCACCTGCAAGATAAGACGAGATGGAGAGATGGTTGGTGGTACATCCCATCAATCAACGAGACGTCTCCCCCCTGTTGTGCGGGTGACTGACAGACTGACCTCTGACGGCGGGCACGTCCTGAACTTGCGTTTGGGCCGGCTGTATCTGTAAAACAATCCTCCCGTGAAGGCCGACCGGATGGCTTCCTCCTCGTTCTGCGCTGCCTCTGGCACTGGAGCCTCCTTCCCCGATGCCTCACCACCACCCGCACTACCAGTGCTCTCGCGACTCGCCCCAGATGGCACGCCCTTGTCTTGTGCCGCTTGAGCTCGCTGCTGGCCGTCCTGTGCTGCGGGGTCGGTTTCTGCCTCCAGCTGTTCATCGGCCTCAGTGATGGTCTCGAGCACGCCAGACAAGGGGGGGGCGCGGCTGCTCTTGGGGCGGTTGTCACTCTGAGATTCAGACAAGGGGATGAAGGATGGTGTGAGCATTGAGAGTCGTCTTTGTTGCTGTGAGACTTACGCCCACTTTCTGGAGTTTTTCCTTCCACTCTTCCCCCTCCACCAGCTCCTTCATCGACTGATCCACGAGGGCCTCAGCGCCGCTCAGATGTGCCGGAGATCCACTGAAAAACAGATGCGATGCAGACAGCAAAAGACAATACATACATCAGTCAGTATCATACTCGAATCGGCCCGCTCTCCATGTGTCAGCCAGCTTACCCGCCCGTCCTAGGTAGTTTGTTGCTGGAGACCAGGAAGTCGCTCACCGAGAAGCCGTCGTCGCTCATTTGAGAGATGCTCGGCTTCAGACCCAATGGCGGCGGGGCCAGCGAAGCCGGCGAAGGGTGCAGCACCCCCTCCCGCGGCCCTAACACAAGCCCATCCCCCTGCGAAGGCGCCGACACACTCACTGGCGGCCCGTCAGCGTGCGCGTGGTCGGGCTCGCCGTCGACACAGACCGAGTGAGCGATGGGTGGTGGCCCGGAGGGCGGTGGAAATGGCGGGCCGTGTGGGAGGTATCCATGGGGGTGGCGGGGGAAGTGTGGGTGTGGGTGGTGGAAGGATGGCTCATACGCAGAGGGGGGAGAGGACGGGTGGTCCTCCTGCTTGACCTCAGCCGAGAACGGACCTGGCAGGGGCGGGCCTGATGATCCCTCGAATGGCGGTGGGTGGTGGGGTGGGGGCGAGTGCGGCACGTACTGCGGGAACCCCATGCCATTGGGATGGTGGCCGTCGAACGGCGGCTGCCCAGACGAGATATACGGCTGCGACGGCGGCCTCGGACGAAGCTCCGACGAGGGACCAGGGCGACCAAACATCGGCCCATGAGGAGGCGGCGGAAACCCGCCGTAGGGCGATCCGGGTCCTTCTCCCTTGCCGGCTTCGTCGACCTCTGTCTTGACAGTATAGCCCGCAGCAGCTGCTGGCGGTGGCCGATACGTCAATGGGAACGACGGTGGCTCGCCGAACATGGGGCCGGGATGGGGCGGACGGGACCCATATGGAGGGGGAACAGTCATCACCGGGCGGTACTGAGACGGTGGTCTGGCCGATGGTGGTCCTGGGCCGACCATTCTGCGATCCATGGGTAGCTGCGCGTCGCCCACTGCCGCTGCAGCACCTCCCTGTGCGATCAGCCCAGCGCCGCCGTCGATGGCGGGCGGTCCAGTGGGGCCGCTGCTGGTGGATGAGTCGCCAGGGCTCCTGATGTCGCCCGAGGGTGTCTGCATATGGGGGGGCGGGGCTGCGGCGCCAGAGGGCAGGGAGTGAGGCATAGCAGCGGGGGCGGGCTTGCTCTCGCTGCTCATCGCTGCAAGCGACACAGAGAACATAATGGATAGGGTCGTTATATTGTGTGTATGGTGATCGCACCAAGATGCACGGCTCGCAGGTTTCTGTTGATGAGTGAGATGAATCGGTTCTTGACGGCGTTCTCGGTGCGGCCGTTGAGCTTCTTGGCTATCTCGGCCCAACGGTTACCCTGACACACCACACCCAGCCGAGACAACCATCCACTGCCTGCCACTTGCCCAGTTTCTCGTGACATCCTCACCACTTCAGCCTGCTTCTCGAGGATGTATGCGTCCTCCTCGGCCGTCCACTCGCCCCTGGGGAACACACACAGAAGCTTGGTTCTCGTCTGATCCCCTCCTTGACTGACTGATCATCCGCCTACCTTTTGATGTTGGGGTCGACATGATTGTACCAACGCTCACGACACTGCTTGCCTGCAAGCACCAAACAGACAGACAGACAGACAGTGAACGACAGGCAGCCTCTTGGTGGCTGTTTGCGTGCGTTGCTCGGCGTGTCGCTCACCAAGTCTGTCTACGCCAAGTCGTTCCTTGAGCGTACGGGATATCTCCGTCCACCGTGGGCCGAACTTACTCACCAGCTGATACAGCACATTGTCCTCCTCGGGAGTCCACGCGCGATTCTGACACGCACAGAATGGCATCGAGCGGCCTGCCTGTGGATGGATGGCTGTGCGTGCGGGTTACCTGTACCTGTGCGACGGCCTTCTTGTATGAGTCGGATGACATGTGCTGCAGCACCACGCCGCCATGGTCCTCGCCCTGGGCCATGTCGTAGTGACCCGATGCGGCGCTCATCGACGACAGAGGGCAGTCAGTGCCCTAGAGTGACGGCAAAAGCAACGACATGTGGCAGGGACGTCCCTGCGTGTTGATAGTGTATCGGAAGAGGTGGAAGAAGCGCCAAGGACTCCGTCTGCAGGAATGGGCCGTCTTTCTCGCTATGGGCACTTCCACACGCCAGACGAGAGCCGTCTGGTGTCACTGCGATGCCGTGGAAGGTCAAGACGGCAAACTTTTTTAGAAGGCGATCGCTTTGCAGCTCGCACACTCGTCGCTCATTCCATCGTCATCGTCGTCCTTCGTTCTTTGCCGTTCGTTCTTTGCCAGACACTAAGTCTCCTCTTCCTTCCTGAAAGAGGAGAAAGGGGAGTTTTTAGGCGAGAGGAGATGGCTCATCAGCACAGCGTCGGCGCGATGCGTGAGGTGGATCCTGGGTATAATCAGCTCGATGAGGAGTATGATGAGGACGACTGGGATGAGGAAGGGGAGGGCGCGTCGGCCGCGGCACATCAAGTCATCGAGAATGCTCCAGCAGAGGCGTCGCAGCAGACCTGGGTGGGCACAAACAAGGAGCTGGATCAATGGATCTATCTGCACTCCGAGCGTCACTGTCGTGTGCCATACATACTGGGTCAGGTTGGCTGGCTGTGGAACCTCCCCCTTGTTGGCTGCTGCTGCGGCGGCCCTCGTCAGGGCCATGCTGCCACCGGGTGAGGTGAAGAGGGAGGGGCATTAGCATTGAGGGATTGAGGGATCTGGGGCTGTGTGGCTGGGCTGGGCTGGGCTGGGCTGAGTGTGTGGATAGTGACTGGTGAAGGCGGGAGGGGGAGGTCGTTGCTGTGCTTTTGACTGGCTGAATAAAATGTGTGTATGGATCTTTTTGAGTTCGGGACGGACTGCTCGGGAGACGCCATTGATTCAAGAGCGAGCGCTTGCTCCATGAGATGATCGATCAGTCTGATACACACAGTGGCCCGCACTGCACTGCCTTGTCCATTGAAAAACACCAGCCACACTTGACATCACACAGGCAGCATGAGGTCACCGCAGATGACAGGAGCACAACACATTATAAATTTCACGTCACACCACACGCATATTATCGACATCTAGGGTCACAAGAAGTCGCTGGGAATGGGGCTGTGCACACTACACTGCGGATGCGCCTCACACAGGCGGAACACACACACGCTACCAGCCACATTCTCCAAAAAGTTCGAGAAAGCTGCACATGTCTGTGCCATGACGCCGTCACCGCAGGCGTCTTGCGGCGCCGTCCCCTTTGTCCTGCTCCGGCCGTTCTTCTGGCTGGCACAGAGGGCCCTCGACGTCCATGGGACGTCCCGTCAGCTGCTGGATGCCGTTGATGCCTATCATAATGATCTCGCCGCTCGTGTCCGACGATACCAACAGACGTCCCTGAGAGTGGACACATCGTACACACGGGGATGGAGAGTATTATATATGTGGGCCTTGGCTGACTTTGTGATCGAAAAGTGCGTCGACGGGTCTCATTTGGTTCTTCCACATGGCCATATACGCTTCATGGGACACACACAGACAGATACACAAGGAGAGGCGGCCAATGAATGGACTGTCCATATACGTCAAGACGGCTTACGGCTGTGCTGGAGGATGACTTGGGATTCGCCAGTCGGCATGCCGTACTTCATGGATATGTGCAAGACATCGAAACCAACGGCCTCTTGTCGATTCCAGGAGCCTAGCGCAAGACAGAAACAGTCGAATATGTTCTATACATTCCTTGCTCACCATGTCGAGGCACGAAGATGTCTCCGAACATTGAGCATGGGAGCGGCATGAGCGCCTCGTCCCCAGTGCGAGCCTTGACGCGCTCAGCGAAAGAGGGGCGGACCGTGGCGTTGGTGGCATTGCTGCCCCCAGGGACAGCAGAACGGCTCTCGGGCTGAGTTGTGGTGCCGTTGTAGCAGGGCGTGTCGCTGTATCGCGCGCCAAAGAACTCGATGCCCAAAGGAGCCGTATGCGCCTGAACAACAGAGAGACACGAGCCGTATGAGATGGATATAAGGAGAGGGATGCAGGAACGCGTGACTCGCCTGCATGTTGAATGCCGGCGGCACGTTTTTGGTGGGGTTGCGGCAGTAGTCATCATCGTACTCACCACCATATTTCTGGTGAAAACTCGTCCATGCCCTGAGGCAGAACAGTAGAATGACATGGTTTCTTCTTTCTTGTGGTCACATACCACTGTGTGCCCTCGCCGAGCCCCCAGCCTTCTGGCAACTTCCCCTCTGTGAAGCACATCGGGTACCCGTAATGGCTGGACCACACACAGAGGACTCACACACGCCCGTCGTATGCTGTGTCTCGGCATCGGTCGATCTTCCTTACGCCGCCGGTTTGTCGAGTTTATTGATTTCTTCTGCGGGGTTGTCTTCCCATATGAGCCCTCCGAGGTCGGGGCGGCACAGCTCGTCCGGCCCATTATCAGCCTCCCACAACACACCTGCACAGACACAGAGTCACAGACCGAGACATGACGGATGTTCGTGAGCGGACGATAAAGGAAGGCCTACCCATCGGGTCCCACGCGAGGCCCACAGCATTGCGCAGGCCATCCTGCAATGAAAAAAGAGGAGCCAGGTGTGCCGTGTAGTTTAGAGAGGACCGGATGTGTGGCACTCACCGCATAGACTTCACATTCCTGGAAGTCATGTCCCCCGCGAGGCAGCTCCTCCGAAGGCAACGTCACGTCGCGACACCTGAGATCCGCGCGGTGTCCTTTGCAGTCTTTGCATGTGTCTCGTTGACTTCGCTTACAGCAGCACTCGAGCTCTGTGGCTATCGGGGTCGGCGTTGCCGTACGAGCCAACACTGATGTAGAGCTCACCATCGGGACCGAACAGGAGTGTCCTGCAGCACAGCGGACGAAAACAGTTGGTGGGGAAAGGGGGTCATCTGTCTGTCTTTCTGTCAATTACCTGGTGGTGTGTCCCCTTTTGGCTCCTCCTGTTCCGTCCTTGTTGATATTCCGCACCACCACCACACGCTCGCTGTCATCCAGAGGAGTTCGCTGCCCGGGTGTGTACGGCCACCTGCACCAGGCGACATACTCACACAAAACTCCATTCAGTGTACGTGTGTTTTCACCGGTAGCAGGTGCGATCAGTGGTCGCGAAGAGAAAACCGCCGAACACAGCGATGCCTATATTCACCGCCATTCATGAATCAGCGGGTCCCATTATTCCATCTGGCTACCGTGGTTGAGTGGTATATCCCCTCTCCATAATTCCACCAACTCTCCCTCAGCATCAATGGCCTGCAAACATCCGCAATAATATCATGAAGGGATATACCAGCCACCTTCCGGTGTTTACCCCAGACGCATCGTCATCGGCCGCCACAAGGATCCGTGCCTCCATCTTGGGCATTGTGATGCCAATGCGGTCGATGATCAGCAGGTCATTGTTGGTCTCCACCAGGCCCATCTCCAGCCCTCGTGGCTCCCCCAGCCCATCCAGCCACTTGCACGCCGTCCAGCCCTCAGGCAGCTGGGCTCCTCTGTATGGGTAGGGGCAGAGATCAGAGCTGTACTCGTGTGGCTCGATATCCTCCTCTAGATCTGGCTGGCCACGGCAGCCATTGCGGCTCAAGATCACTGCCAACACCGAGAGGAGGCACAGCGCCACATCCATCATGTGTTTTTTTTTTCCCTTCGATTGCGAGCTCAAGGTGGGGGCGACAACGGGTCACGGTGTCTCAGACGCGTCTGAAATCCTTTTCGACTGAAAAGAGTAGGTGGACCTGTGAGAATGTTGCCACTTGGCATGCGTGACGTTTTAATTCTTTTCAGATGGTACTGAAGTCTTTCGTCGCTCTCCTCCTTGCGTGGCATGCCGATACTTGCACTGGTAGATAAGCTTAGAAGAGCACTCAGTCTGTCGGCAACACATTTGCGTATTCTGCAATGCTTTGCCTTGTTCTGCCAGCCGGCAGTGTCGCAGCATGGACCAACTCCACAGTGACTGTCCGCGAGCACTACAAGGCTCTGCCGTGGAATGGCTGGTCCAGAGGAGGCAACCCCCGCAACTTGATTGTGATGTTTGCTGGGACGGGCCAGGACAAGGACACCAGTGACAATGGCGTGAGGACTGACACCTTGACCAACATCGCTCTCCTATGGGAGACCCTGGCTCAGAAAGGGAGGGTGGCCCAAGGCAGCCAGCTGGTCAAGTACTTCTCCGGCATAGGGACAGAGCACGCCAAAAACAAACCCGGCGAGACTCCAGAAGATTCACTTCTCTGGCGGGTCGTCAGCAAGGTACAAAACGCGGTTTTGGACTTCAGGGACCTCCTCGCGAAGACTACCGGAGGCGGCTTCGAGGAGAGCGTGTTCAGGGCGCTGGAGTGGTTGATGGATGCGAGGGCCAAGAAGACTGACAGGATTGCCATCTTTGGCTACTCGAGGTGACGCTGGTTTTCTCTGATTTGCACGCATTCGTGCACGTACGTATGATTGCATTTTCTGTCAGGGGAGGACACCAAGCACGGCTCCTGCAGGGTGGGTCACTGAGGAGGAAGCAAGCAGATCCTGTGTGTGTAATACGTACGCATGAGACATGTATGTATCCATTGCTATCTATCTGGCTGAAGGTATCCTGGCTTCTTACGGGCTGCCGGCCAGCGGGTCCGATTTGGAGGAGCTCAGGGCAAACCCAGAGCTCCTCCTCAGATGGGAATCCCACGTCAGGGACGACAGTCTGGCCGCCCAGCGGAAGGAACATCGGCTGCCGAGATACCTTCTAGGGCTGTTCGACGCCTGCGCAGATACCCAGATCATGGGCATGGCGATCGAAGGTGCGCCGAGAGACACACACGTGTGACCGGATGCCAAGTTCGTCTCTCTCTGGGCTGGTGGCCGGCTGGGCGTACGTGCAGATCTCTCCGTTGGTCTGGCCCCAACCACAGAGAATGTGCTGCACGCTATGGCTTTGGACGAGATGCGAGACATGTACGATGTTTTTCCTCTTGCGAAACACGAACCGATCCAGCAGGTGGCTGGGGTGCACTGCATGGGTAAAGGAAACGGAGATCGTATACATAAGGCGGAATCAATTCCTGTTTTGCAGGAGGCGGCGAGGGGCCAGAACATTGAGAGAGTGTGGTTCCCTGGTAGGTCTTCGCCCATGTCTCTCTCACACCACCTCAACCCACACACAAACATACATGAGCAGGTGACCATTCTGACGTGGGTGGGCTGCACGATTGGGACGCCCAAGACAGGCGATTCGCAAACATCCCACTCAAGTAAGGAACTCACGAGATTGACTGACTGCTCGTGTCTCCCTCCCTGCCGCTGTCATTCGCCTATGCGTGTATGCAGTTGGATGCTTGAGCGCTCAAATGCGCTAGGCCTGCTGGTCAACGACAAGGGTGAGGCGAAGCTCAGCCCCAAGACCAAGAGAGAAGACTATGCCAAGGACGTGTTGCTCACCCTCCACGACATGACCGGCGAGGGGCTCTACCCCGTGAGACAATAAAACATGTCGGTGTCTTCGCAGATCACGTGTGTGACCATCCGTGTGTTGACACGTACGCAGAAAATTGAATCTGCCGCCAAGTACGTCTCGGCGCTGCGACCGCTCGGCCCGGTAACCCTACAGGACATGACACAACACACACAGAACTCTGTCATGCCCCTCTTGCAGGTGACCAAGACTCGCAGCCCCTTCCAGTGCGCCCGTGACTCTCCCGATTACGCCCCTCCGGACGGAGAGCTGACACTTCACAGAAGCGTCCTGGACAGGCTCCTTCTCTCTGGCGAGTGAGTAAGCTCACTCAGATATATGCGGAGAGGTACGGGGGGTAATGGATCGCTCCCTGTGTGTGTGTGCAGGGTGCCACGTCCCCTCTGCTGCAGCCCTCTGCTTCTCAATGCGGTGACGGGAGAGGTGACCTCATCTAACGTGCCTCGCGAGGAGCTCCACATCAGTATCGCCTTGACGAAGATGGCCTCCAGTCGGACCGCCAGAGACAAGTACGACTTCATCATCGCCCCCTGGAAAGGCAGACCGATCGCCACGTACCACGTCGGGGTGACGCCAGAGATCCTGCCCGTGACTGCCATTGGGCAGCCGAAGTTCCTGACGTCCAGACACAAGGCTTACCGCATCACTGAGCTGCCCACGTGCATGAGCGCCCAGGTGCAAAGAGGGTGCTGCGTGCTGGAACACGTGGGGACCAGCTGCGACCTGTCTGACCTCCGGAGGAACTACACCAAATACGACAACAAAAAGGAGGACATCGAGGCCTGCGCTGCGCAGAAGGTCTTCTGATACACCCATGTATGGACTGACTGCCTGCGAAACACACGCTTTGTCTCGCAAAGAAGAAGACAAGGAAGAGAAGGCGGAACGGCCTTTGAAGTGAGTGATGACCAGCCATGAATGCAGACGTGAAGACGAGATGGAGACGCACGCACATTGATGGATTGTAGCGAAGCATGTGTCCAGTCGAGAGCCCAACCCCCAACCCGCCACCCCGCAGCTGCTACTCCTGCATGGTCTTCCTGATGTCTTCCTTTCTCTTCGTCATGGCCTGCTCCACGCGCTTCACGGTCTCCTCCACGGCCTCCCTCGCCGCCTTCATATACCGACCCTCCTCGACCTACACGCACATCACGTACCACACACGTACACGCAACCATGGCCCGGGTGATGGATGTCTCGATTGAGTCTCACTGACTGACCATGATTCTCCGCCTGACTGTCTCGCGGTGGACGTGGGGAAGAACGAAGGATGACACCAGCTCCCGCACAATCGTCTCGGGTGCCTGTAGGCATTCGTACACGTCAGTCATGTCATTGTATGCGTCTCAATGTGCGTGAATGTGTTTCATTCATGTACCCACCGAGTATTTCTCCTCAAGGGCATCGACGACCGTATTGATCTTGGTGGCCTGTTCAAGAGACGAGACAGACACGGAGGGAAACATGACATGACCATGGTCAGCATGCGTGTCTCATCTGCATGACCTTGAGTTTGGCCTCGGTGAGCGCCTGCACACGCGCAGACTTCTCCACAGTCGACGTCAATATCTGACCAAAGACAGACACAGACCAACACACGACCACCCTTCCACTCATATGCACAGCCGTCGCGTGTCCATCTCACCTGGTCGACATAAGAGTCGACGGTCCCCTGGTGCACGCCCAGTATCTCACGGAACATCTCATCTTCCCGCGCCCGGAGCCGCTCCTCCGCCTGCCGTCGACCGCTCTCCTGTGCCTGGCGCAGACGACGATCACGCTCGGCCATCTTGACAAAAGCCGCAATCCGCTGCTCCTCCTGTGCGTCCATACCCATCAAGACCCAGCGTATGTGCCTGCCTTGTGTGCTGGTGGGTGAGTGGGGGCTGATTACTTCGAATCTTCTGAGTTCTTTGGAGAGCTGGTCGAGAGTCTGAGCCACGACGCTGCCCTGGATGGAGTCCACCACAGCATCAGCAGCACGCTCACGCTCCTGACGACCCATGAAGACACACAAAAGACACATCGATCTACCGACCAGCTTTTATATTCTCTCGTGTGGCTTTGTTGCCAAGCTGACCTTCTCGGCCTGCATCCTCTCCTGGTCCTCAGGAGGCATCTCAACCAACCTGCACACGTGCCGCGCCGCACGGGGATGCTCTGATGCCTGTGCCTGTCTGGGTCTATGTGTCTGTGTCGCGACCGTTCGGCGTCTCTGAGTTCGTTGATGAGGTCGAGCCGCTTCTCCTTGCCCTCAAACATCCTGTTCTGCAGTGCGCGACCGCTGAAGTCACCACATAACATACAGCCGGAAAAGAAGACTCAGGCATCCACGCCACGAAGAATGAATGACCCCTTCTTGCCTCCCTCCCTCACCGTATGAGTCGCTGGAGGAGGATGGTGGCCGTCTCGAGCTTCTCCTCCTCGGGCAGCACCTCATCCACGCGAGGCGTCTCGGGACGCTCCAAAATGTCTCGTGTGTGGTACTTCTTCTGAGACACGGCGCCCTCGACGCGCTCGCCCGGAAGCAGCTCCCCCTCTCCCTGCAGCCATGGCAGCCACACAGAGGGAAGAAAGAGGAGGACTTGGGTGTGTGTTTCGGTGTTTATGCACTGCACCACTTGGAATTTGTCGGCCAGTTTCTGTTTGATAGAGCTCATGGTGCTTTCTAATGCATGCTCCAGCTGCAAGACCACAGCACAGCACAGCACGACACAGCATGTCATGTCTCCGCAGAGAGGAGATGGCTGTGTACAGCAAGTACATGCCTTCGCCCACCTCGGCGTCCTTCCTCTGTCTGTATTTGGTCGTGTTGATCTCGGGGTCTCGCGATGGCACCTTGACGCTCAACGCACTCCGGGGCATCGTGCGCTCCAAATCAGACAGACCAGAGAAACTCTACACGAATCAACAAATATGGAACAAATATGGAACAAACAAGGAACCATCAGCTGGACGGTACGGTTTTTCTGGTTTGTGTTGCCTGCCTGGAGGTCAGCGGGTTGTATCTCGATCTTCCCTGTGGCTGTGTCGGGCCGCTGGCCCTCCCGCAGGATAGGGGCATACACTGTGGAACCGGTCGCTGCATAATCCTGCAGACAGAGTAAGGAAGTGAAAGGTGCGCACATGCATCCGCCATGTATGTCCCGCCCTACCTTGATGACGTCTCGCTTCCTGGACTGCAGCAGCGTCTCAGCCATGGCCTTCTCGCGATACATCTTGCGGAGCGTCTGAGCGGCATAGAGGGCATGTATTGCCCCTCTCTCTCTCTCTCTCTCTCTCTCTGTGTGTGTGTGTGTGTGTATGTCACCCACCTTGATTCGTTTCTTTTGTCCCTTGGCGATTCTTCTGTCCTTGTTGTCGATCTTCTTGACGCGGATGCGCTCCACCCTGTCGGCCTGCTGGGAGGTACGCTTCTCCTCGCGAGCAGCCAACTCCTCACGGATAATCTCGAGACGGCGACGCTGCACACACACAGACCAACAGAAGTATGTGCTCGTTGGTCGGTGTTCTTGGCTGGAGGGCCTTGCCTTACCTGTAGGTCTTTGATGTGTTGTTCTCTGTCTGCCCATTCCTTGAACTCTGCCTCGGTGAGCAGCCGCTCACGTAGACGGAACGAAAACTCATCAGTCGACGGCGGCAGCATCTGGTCCCATAACCTGATTGATTGTGCATATTCACAAATAGGGCAGGCGTATGGTGATCGTATCGTATCGTGTGTGTGTTGCGAGTGCATCGTGGGCAGGTGCCACGTACGTACCTCTTCTGTCTCATTTTCTGTATCATGGCGACCTCGATGTTTGTCGCGGGGAGGCCCTTGTCCCAACACAACTGGGCTATGGTCAGCACCTGAAGACACACAGACAGACAACGAATTGCTGGGTATATATGGGGTGTACGGATCGGATTAATGAATGACTTCGGGGTTGAAGTTAGGATCAGCTGACTGCAGCACGTATGGCGGCGAGTAGGGGTCCGTCTGCGCAGAGCCCTCACGGTAGACGGACTGGATCCCTGCACACACCACACGGCATCCATCCACATGCACACACAAATCGAGTGAGTGTGTCTGTGTGTCTGTCTGTCTGTCTGTCTGTCTGTTTCTTCACTCTCTCACCAATGGTCCTCGTCCGCCCGTCGAGACTCTCTACACCAGCCCAGCCATGCCATGCACACCAAATATGCTCTGCCAGGTGAGGTGCGTGTGCATTGACCTGCCTACCTCGCCCAACAGTGACGAAGGGGTCGACAGGTGCTCGTTGCCGGGGGATGGCCGTGATATCAGCCGTCGCACGAAGCACTGCCGCCACACGAGCCGGCGCAGCGCTCGCATACACAACCTACACATGTACACATAAAAGGTGACACATTTGTGTGGTTGGGTGGTGGAGGTCAATCGCTCACCGACCGGTGACTGTGCTGACAGGCTGGCCACCAGGGGACGGCGGAAGAACTTGTGCCGGTGCTTCCCTGTGACCTTCGTTGACACACACAGACACAGACACAGACACAGACACAGAGACACAGACACAGAGACACAGACACAGACACAGGGAGAGAGAGACGATTGATCATTGATGTGCAGCTATCTAGAGACGGGCCGTATTCACCTGGTCTGCATCGACGTCAGGTCCTGCTGGAGGGTGCCAGTTGGTGTCCACATGGCCAGGCGGGGCCTTGCTGGGATTCTGAAACGATGAACACCAGACAAAGACTCTTTGCACTTGACAGACAGACAGACAGGCAGGCACCTCACCTTACCTCAGAGATGCGCAGTGTGTGTCTGGGACAGTGCTGCAGCTCCGAGAAGTAAAACTCACAGTCGGCCACCTTCTCAACCTGGCCCGCCATCCCGCGCATCGTCTGCACAACACAAGCCAACCAACCAACCACTCACACGCACGCCGTCCGCTGCATGTCATGGCCATCCGGCGTGCTCACGAGTTTGGCATGGTCAGTAGGCCCGGCCGAGCAGTAGAGCGGGTCATAGAGGTGGTCATACGCCCGGTTTGGCACCTGGTGTGTCCTGTAAGGCACTCTTCCCGCCTGTGTCCCCTGGCCCGCCCCCACTGTCGGCCCTTGCTGCAGAGGACTCGCCGGAGCCACAACGGTCGTTGTTCTCGTCGCCATGGGTGGGGAGGATATTGGAAAGACTGGGGCCTGCAATCTTAGCTTGCAAATGAGCTCGCACACTCTGGTGAAGCTCTCTCGTCAAATGACGACTACAGACACTGAAAAAGACATCATTGTCACATCACACCCACTCTCTGGCAGACCGACTCATAGATACACACGACATAAATGAGATCTTGCTCCCCATCCACACAGCACTGACTGCAATGAATCCGCAGACCCGGGCTGCCCAGCCATCCCATCCATCACGCCACGGACATAAGTAGTATGTATGTCCCTCATCTGCAGATGGCTCTGGCCTTTTGCAGCGCCAGCTTGTAAAGGTGGTGGCCCCACAGATCGGTGCACGCCAGCAAAACCAGAATGGTCACGGCCATCGCAGGCAAGGAAGAGAAGTAGCGGCACTCCCTGCACAGCACAGAGACAATACGCAACGAAAAAAGACACAGAGCAGCACACATTTGGTCATTCTGAGGCGTGTGCATGTGTGTGGGGAGCCGGGAGCATGGCATGGGCGGCATGCTTACTTGGTGTGCGCGTCGAGTGTCTTGAAGTACCACTTGGAGCACGTGGGGTCGAGACACACATTGCGGGGGCGGTAGTAGGTCTGCGATCCCAGGCATGACGCCTCCATCGCACAGAAGGCGTCGCTGCCGGCAGCCTTGAGGTTCTTCTGCGCGAAACTGCACCGTTGCAACCACACACACATGCAGCTCATGCTTCGTTGTGCAGAATGCAAGCCCAGCCCGTTTGTGTGCATGCCGTGCGCACCGCCCCGCCCCGCACCCGATAGTGTTGTTGGCATCGTTGACAACGTAGTAGAGATTGTTGAGCACTGAAAGGCAGGCAGGCAAGGAAGGAACCACATGGAAAGACATATATTCGATAGGAGTGCCGTGCCTGCCATCTTATCTTATCTTGCCCACCACCATACCATAGGTGCCGAAAGTCATGTAGGGGCTGGTCGTGTACTCGAGAGGGCGACTGATACGTGTGACACGGAGACCCACAAAAAACGTACACCAGCGTCCTGCCTGCCAGGTTTTGCCTGCATATGGCTGGCTCTTGTCTGGCTGACTAACTTACCCGATGATGTAAGCCGGCGCCTCCCCGCTGACGCACAGCTCCTCCCTCTTGGAACTGGCATTCCAACGCACCAAACTCTCTATTCCACCACACACAACACACAACGTCATCTCCCTCCCCCACCCCACACACCCTCCGTCTCTTTCCCTCCCTCACCAAGTGGTATGTTTAACCTCGGCCCCTCCTCATCTTCGCTCAAGCGGAACTGAAACACCGGCAGCGGCCGCGCGTCCTTCCGTGGCGAGCACAGGGTGGGGTGCGTGTCGCGGTACCGCCACACGGGATACTGGGGAGGCGGCCGCTCGCCCTTCTTGGCCGGCTGGGCGGGAGGCTTCCCGTCGGGACAGTCGACCGGCAGCCACGCCATTAACCGCTCCCATATAAAGCTCGGCAAACCCAGACACTCGGCGCTGAACGAACGAGCACGCACACACAGAGGATGGGATGGGATGGTCATGCTGGTCTGCGGTTCGTGCGTACCCTGTGTCGACGGCGGCCACCCAGTTGGAAGAGTCGTTATAGAGCAGGTCGGCGCCGCACACAGACGGGTGGTAGAGCACGAACTGCGGCAGGGCGTCCTGCATGAAGCCGCCCGTTTGCTTCCGCTCGCTCCACGCAATCGGACCGTACTTCTTCGTCCACCCACCGATGTGCAGCTCGTTCTTGTGCCCACCTCCCCCCAGCGCAGCCGCCCCCTTTTTCCGCTTGTTAAGCCGCCTTCGCGAGTGGATTGGGTGGTCTCGGGTGTGCGAGTCTTTGCGTGTGTCTGCGGGCGCGGTTGGGATGGTGATCGACACATCAAAGGCGAAGGACGTCGCGTTGACCGACGCGAGAAGATCGCTGAAGACGGACTCGTTTCGACACGACAACGAGCGGCCTGACAACAAATACATAAAGAGAGAGCGTCCACGCTCATGGCTGGCAGCCATCCATCGGCGGGCCTTGTACACTCACCGCTGAGTCCCCATAAGCCATCCCCGGCCCCCATGAACAGCGGCCACTCTTGGTGCTGTGTCCTGTTGTTGATGAGCTTCAGCGCCGCCTTCTCCTTGGCGAAGTGCAGCACGGCACTCGGCGAGCCGGGGGCAGCGCTGGGCAGGTCGATCGACACCGAGCCAGTGCCCTCTTGCCTATGCTCCTCGTACTCGACACCATCCCAGCTGTAGGGATACCTGACACACACACACACACACACACACACATGGAAAGAGGGAGGGTTGGGGGCGACGAATGCACTGTCAAGTCAACAACACTTGCTGCTTCGCCCACTCACTGACTCACTCTTGGAAGGAGTGTTCGTCGGTCTGGTTCATGCAGGCGCATTTGAAGCTCGGCCGCGTGGGGTCCACGATGCACTTCTGGTGTATCTGCGTCTTGCACCAACACGTCCCGTTTTCTGCCTTGAGCGGGTCGAAGCACACCCGCCCAGCGGCCGGCTTGCCGCCCTTGTCCAGTGGGCATGCAGAGGTGTTGTACTGGAAGAGGCGGATGCCCTGGCCCATCGAGTCGAGGTAAAGGTTGACCTGCTGCCCGGCCGCTGTGAGTGGGAGCAGCAGCTGACCGCCATCCTCCTTCATCTCGATGATGTACGCTGGCTCGGCAGACACACTCTGAGATAGACGATAGACAGACAGGCACATGCGCATGAGTCCAGCTCGTGCTCTGCTTTGTTTCTCGTGTGTGCGTGTGTGGTTGCTTACTTGTGTTGATACTGCGATGGTTGTGAGGCCGAGCCAGGCAAGCAGAGACCTTCTCCTCGCCATAATTGAAGTCAAATCAACCAGATCTCCGTCGAGCCCATCTTAACAAGGCACACATAATGCTGACTGAAGCCCTCTTCTTTTCGCATCCTCTTTTGCGAGCTTGAAAACCAATAGCTCGCAATATATTGAATTCTCCCAGCGTCTGATTCAGTACGTGATTCGGCACACAAACGTCTGTTGCAGCAATGGGCGCCTCGACATCCTCACCACTTCCCGATGGTGCGGATCCTGCCGATGCTGTCCTTGGGGATGAGTCCCCCGACTCGGAACGTCCCGAGCGGTGGGTGCGTGAGCGTTTGCGATACCAGTGCTGCGGCCTCGGCATGCCCCGCATCCCGGACGACCACTCGATGAGCCCGGAGTTCTCCAAGGCGCCGAGCTGCATCTTCAGGGGGGATAAGAGGCGTCGCTCCACTACCACCAGCAGCCACATGACCGACGGTATATGCACTCGCGCATGCGCACTGGCAAGTCTGTGTCTCATGACTTCGCTCTCTTGTGTGTCTGGGGCATGTCATGCAGGTCCCTCGGATAGTCCGCCGAGCAGCATCATGCGTTTGGAGGCGCTCATTTCGCAAATCGAGGTGGTGGAGGACGCGAGGCAGAAGATCGCCGAAGCCCTCCAGCTGCAGCAGCAGCAGCCGGACCAGAGCAGCTCCTCGTCCGCATCGGCGAGCGCATCGTCTGGTGCGGTTTCTGCCTCTGCTGGTGATGGTGCGGGGGATAAGTGCAGTCTGCTGCTGAGCGGCGCCTCGCCGGAGGTCGACAAACCCAAAAACACATACGATTGGATGATGTGAGCTGACCTGGGGGGGCAAGGGGCCGCTTCTATCTGTTTATTCTGCGTCTCTTATTCTGCGCCTTCCTGCAGGTATTTAGTCCACGAGAACGTCGTATTTTCGCAGTTTGGTATGAGCGGTCGTGAGGTGCTCGACGCCCTCGCGCAAGTGGGACTCGACGACCCCACACGAGTAAGGCCTGAATGCATGCATGACACACAGGACGGGACGGAAGGAGAGGAATGTCAGTCACATCAACTCGTGCTGTGCTGTGGTGTGCTGTGTGTGTTCAGCCCGTTGAGTTGCCCGAGTTGCAGCGCACATTCCCGCGTTTCCTCATGGCCATCGACCACCTCCTGGCACAGAGGCTGGGGCGGCTGGAGGCCGAGCGGGGACCACTGCAGGTAGGTACCGCACACACACAGACTCATACATACCCCACCACAGCAAGGGGGGAAGACAGGTCATAACATTCCTCCCCGGTTCCTCCCCCGGTGCGTCTGTCCGTCTGCCAGTTGTCGGTGCATAAGGTCGAGTCCATCATTCGCCGCTCCTTCCACAAAATCGACGTCGACAACGACGGCCAGATCAGCCTCGACGAGTAAGTAGCACAACCATCCCCAGATAGCCTCTCGCCACGTCGCGTATGTCTTGTGGCACGTGTGGCACGTGCAGGTTTATGGATGTGGTGCGGCTGGGGAAGCGCCTGGGCATCTGGGGACTGGCCGGCGAGGAGGCCCCCACGGCAGCCACCTTCGGCTCCCTGGATGGTGACGGCGACGGGCTGATAAGTGAGGGTGAGTTCCGGCAGCTGCCGACCAAGACGCTGCGGCTGCTGCAGCGGACCATCGACACGGAGAAGGAGATGAAGCAGAGATACAGATACACCTACTGGTGACACACGGACTCAGTGAGTGTGACATGACACCAACTCTCATGTGTAAGGGACGGGACGGATGGTGCGGTGCGTCAGGGGGAAGAGAGGGCTGGGGCTCTTTTTCCCTATCGGTTGCTCTGGGGGGCTGGCTGGTGCGGGGTTGTGCTGTGCAGTGAGTGAGGAAGGAAAGTGTCACTTGCGTGTGTCTGGTCGGTCACCGCTGATGCACGGAGTCTTCCCTCACACAGACTCCGTGTGTGAGCGGTGGGCGAAGGACACCAAAAGACACAGGCAGGCAGGCAGGCAGGCAGGCAGACAGAAGATAAGAGAGCGGCCGGCACCCATGTCATGTTAGCCAGGCAGCCATTGCACATGCTGTCCGCCCGTGACCCGTGTGCACTTGATGTGTCTCGTTTGGTGGGATTCTGTCTGCGGCTGCGTCCTTGGCTCGGGCTCCGTGTACGTGGCCTCAGCACTGTGATGGCTCAGTGCGGAGGCTCCGTACACTGACACCGACTGAAGGTCGCAAACTTAAGAGGTAGAGGTGATTCTCTCTCTGGGTGGTTGGCTAGATCGTATGAGCCATGCATGCCATCTTGGACGCACACGCACCCATTCACTCGTTCAAAACTTAACAGACAGACAGACAGGTCTCGCACAGGGTCGGTCTCGCATCTGAATTAGGCAGGCAGGCAGGCAGGCAGGCAACCGTCACGCAGTGCACCCCAGCAAGAGGCAGAGCGGAGGCAATTGAGGCGAAAGATGGATCGGTCACTTCTTCCCTGAGGATGTGACGTTGAACTTGAAGAAGACGCAGTCGCCATCTGTGATTTCGTAGTCCTTGCTGCACACACACCAACACAGCACGGCACAGCCAGGACACGCACACAGAAGGGCACTCAACATGCACTGCACCACACCCTTCTGTGTACTGACTGTACTGACCCCTTCTGGTGGTACTTGCCGGCCGCCTTGACCGCATTCTCGCTCCCTGACAATCCAATCCACACAGCCATACAATACACGAGTTGGTTATGGATGGTCTGACCCGCCACCGCCCATTGGTTGGACCTGACCTTCCTCCTTGAGGTCGTCAAATTTGTAGACCTCGGCGCAGATGAAGCCCCGTTCAAAGTCGGTGTGGATGATACCTGACACACGCGCACACACACACACCATTTGCCCGTGTGTCTGTCTGCCCTGATCCCATCGATTGATTGCTTCGTTTACCGGCGGCTTGTGGCGCCTTGGTGCCTTCTCTGATGGTCCAGCACTTGACCTCGTCCTCGCCACAGGTGAAGTAGTGGAGCAGGTGCAAAGCGCTGTAGCCCGTGTTGATGACCTTGTCGATCTGGGAACACTTGGCCCCCACATCCTGATATGACAGCACCCACATCCATCCATCCGTCCATCCGTGTGGCCAGGCCACCCACCCAGTGGCCCACCCACCCCACCTTGATGTAGTTTTGCCTCTCCTCATCAGTCGGGAGCTCGGAGAGTTTCTGCTCGAACTCTGCGCTGTATGGGATGATGGGCCCGTCGAGGTTGTCCTTGACCCAGGCGGCGATCTTGGGCAGGTGCTTGTTCTTCTGCCGGATGAAGTCCTTCTCGGACATGTTGACCAGGTACACCACTGGCTTGGCCGTCAGCAACTGGTAGCTGTTGAGCACCTCAACCTCAGCTGCCTTCCAGTCACCTAAGGTGCACACAAATCTCTCTCTGTGTGCGTGTTGTCGCTCCCTCTCTCTCTCTCTCTGTGTGTGTGTGTGTGTGTGTGCATCTCACCAGCAGAGATCCATTTGCCGTCCTCCTTGACCCAGGCGAGTATCTTGAGGAGTATGTCGAGCTCGGCCTTCTTCTGCTTGTCGGCCCCCCGCCTTGTGAACTTCTCGGGCTCGACCGTGATGTCCTCCAGCCGCTGGATGTCCTTCATACGCAGCTCGTCAGCTATCGTCACCAAGTCGTTCACGGGATTCACCTCACCCTATTTATCCCCCACACACGTGTCTGTTGGTCTGTATGCCTGTGTGTGTCGGTTGCTTATGACAATCACTCTACCTGTGTGTGGATGATGTCGTCGCTCTCGAAGGCCCTCACGACGTGGTATATCCCGTCAACGGCCTGTATGTGGCTGAGGAAGGCGTTGCCCAGCCCCTCCCCCTGGTGGGCATTGGGCACCAGGCCCGCGATGTCGTAGATGGTCAGTGTCGCAGACACCTCCGACTTGGGCTTGAAGTGCTCGCACAGCCACTTGAACCGCTCATCAGGCACTGATGGATCACAACACACACGCACAGGGCAGGGGAGATCTCGAGGGATGAAGGAAGGCACTGACTGGTTGGCTCCTTGAACCGACCATCGGCTTCCATACCGTTCATGCGTGCTTCGTGCGGGTCAATGGTGCAGAATGGGAAGTTCTCTGCGGGCACGGCCTGCTTGGACAGGAGGTTGAAGGTCGTCGACTTGCCCACGTTGGGCAGGCCCACCAGACCCATCTTCAGAGAACCACGAGGCCTCCCAAGCAAACTGCAACCACACGCACACACACACAGACAGACAAGCAGTCGGCAATACACACATAGGACAACCATGGCGGGCGCAGGATAGGATGCACTCCGTGCGACTGATTCATGCCGGTCTGTCTGTCCGCTGTGCCTGTCAGATCTTACATCTTCTTTTCGGTCTCGGCTTTCTTTTTCGGCGCCATCTTGTGCTTAAGATGTCCGACCCCCTTAGAGAGAGAGAGGGGGACGAGTGCCGAAGGGAGAGGAAGCCTTTCACAAGCTTGCAAGAGATCGGGGCTAGGACATTTCGGGAAACTGCTCGTCGAAGTGAAGCCGGGGGGCTGAGTTGCTTCCGCCTCGCATTATGTCAGATCTGCCAGCCGACGTCCATTCGTTCGTGCAGAAGCACCAGCGCGACCTCAACTGCCTCACAGATCCCGACAGATCCCTCCGCAAGGCAGCCCTCGCACGGCTGGACGCACTCTTCCCTCCCTCTACCGCCGCCACACCCACACCCACACACACGGCAGGCATCAAGCCCCTCAAGCACCTCTTCATCCATTGCCTCGCCCCGCGCATTCCCCATCTGCTGTCAGACCCCGTGGAGCGATGCAGAGAGACCGCTCTGACCATCATGGCAAAGGCTGTCGGGCTGCTAGACCGACAGGAGCTCACGGACCTGCTGCCGATATGCCTCTCGGCTTTGTTGTCGCGCATTCGGCCGCTGCCGTTCCCTGAGGAGGCCGAGGAGCTGCGGCTGGATGTGCTGATGCTGATAGGGCGGCTGGTGCGGGGGGTGGGGGAAGGGTGCGGGGGGTACTGCGCTGATCTGGTGGATGGGCTGTCCAAGGCCCTGACGGACGCCAACCCCGAGGCCAAGAGGGAGTCTTGCGGCATTGTCGAGGCCATTGCCAAGACATGTCAAGGCGACAAACTCGCTAAGGTCAGCGGGAGATCTGGGAGACCTTACAATGCAATGCAATGCATGTGTCTGTCTATCTAGCCATCCATTCCATCGGTTCATGGCGTGTGTGTATGTGTGCGTTGAGTCCGTAGGTTGGCCGTCCTCTGGTGCAGTCGTTGGCGCGGAATCTGAGCCACCAGCACTGGAAGGTCCGCAAGGCGACTCTCGAGGCGCTCGGGGCCCTCCTGCGGCAGCCAGATGTGTGTGCCGCCTTCATGGAGGACGTGCTGCCCACACTCGCCACCGTCAGAAGCGATCGCACGCCAGCCGTCAGGTACGCAGAGGACCTCTGTGTTGCCGTAATGCCGTCCATCTGTGACTGTCTGTGGGTCATGTCAGGTGTTGTTTATCGGAGGTCATAGCTGATTGGCTGGAGCACATAGGAGACGAGCAGCGGGACCGCCTGGAGGGGCGGTTGGCCTACCTGCTGCTGGGGGGTCTGGCCGACACCGAGCTAGAGACCGTTGCTGCGCCGTCCTACGCCCACCTCCAGGTCAGCAGCACAGCACACGTGTTCACATACACCCACTTCGCCTCTACAGCGTGACGTGACCTGCCTGTGTGTGTACGTGCAGGCGATTGCGCAGAAGCGGCAGCGGCAGAAGAGATCGCAGCAGGAGGCGTCAGCCACAGCGAAGGAGAACCACGACAACGACCAGGTCATGGAGCCGGCGAGCCCCAAGGCGGCGCCAAACGAGAAGGAGTCTGCGCGTGGTATGCTCCCCCTGAACGTGTCGGCCTTCCCGCCACCACTGAGCGCTGATAGGCCGCCGACGGATGACATGAGGGCGTGGGTGGTCGGGCTACTGGAGAAACTACTGCCACAGGTGCGTGCGTTGTCTGTGCTTGTGTGGATGGATGGATGGATAGATGGATGGATGGATGTGTGTGTGGTCAGGTGTTGACGGACATCATCACATGGACGGTGCCGCATCGACTGACGGCCTCCCGTCTGCTCAAGCTGCTGATAGTGCTGTGCGACTCCCATCTGACGCCGTACGCCTCCCCACTGCTCATCCACCTCTACAAGACCACATCGGACGACAACCCAGACGTGGCACACACCGTGCTCGAGTGCGGCCACCTCCTGGGCAGGGTCATCCCCCTCTCCCTACTGCTGCCACTCATCGGCTCGCACCTGGGCGTCGAAGGCGGCACACACAGAGAGAGGGGCGAGGGCGCATGGCTGCCGGAAAGGGAGGTGAGGGGCCGCGTGACGGCGACCGAGGTGGTGGACGTGGATTTGCAGCGGCTGACCAACAGCAAGTTCACGGCCGTGTCTGTCGAGAACAAGAAGTCCGTCATGGTGGTGCTCGGCACCCTGCTCGAGGCCCAGCCGACGTCCCTGGGCGAGAGGGAGCTCTGGCTGGCTGCGAGATATGTGGAGGAGCAGAGCCGGGAGGGAGGAGTGGACGAGGTGCTGCGTGTGCTGCCGAGGGTGGTGGGTGCGCTGGTGCGGGCCGCGGGGGAGGCCTGTCGGAGGGAGGGAGACAGGCTGTTCGCCGTCATGCTCAGACTCAAAGTAAGTAGGGGACCAAGGAAGTAGGTGCCGAAGAGAGGGGCATTCTCCCCATGTTTGTGTGTGGTTGGCTCATTCGTTCAGGCCTGCCCGAGTTGCGATGAAGACCAGGTCGACCAAGTGGTGAGTGAGCAGAGACACGGAAACCTCCCCACATCCGTCACTCACCCTGTCTCCTTGCGCCATGCTGTGTGTGTGTGTGCACCAGATCGCCTCCCTCGCTGCCGCCTCGGGCGTGCCCATCAGCGCCCTCTACACCACGCACCTCGAGGCATGCCTCACCGGCATCCCAGACCATGACGCAGCACCGACACCAGCTGCCAGCGACATGACAGGGGGGCAGGGCTTCCTGGCCGACAGCGCCTCGACCGTCTGGCAGGACGACGACGCCCGGCGGTCGATGCTCGACACCCTGGTGCGCAATGCGGGGGAGGGCGCCGCGCCGTGTGTGCGTCGGCTGGTGCCGATATTGGTGTGCCAGTCTGACCCCAACTGTGCGTGCCCGATGGTGCGGGTGGACGTGCTGGGGCTGGTCTACTGGATGCTCACTGTCGACATACCCGCCATCAAGGAGACACTCAGGTGCGATCGATGGAGGGAGAGGGGGGTCGCAGACGTTAATGTCACGTCACGTCCTGAATGTGTGTGTGATTCTTGGGCAACCAACAGGAGCGATGAGGTGTCGGTGATGCTGCTTCGGCTCGTCCTGTTGCCCAACAGCATCTGGCGGCCGGGCCAGGCCAACGCCAAGATCCGGAAGGCCGCCCTCCTCTGCATCCAGGCGCTGTTTCCCCCAGTTCAACCCACAGCCACCTCCCCCGCCCCCACCCCTCTGCTCAGCTCTGCAGAGCTGTCGAGTGTGCTGCCTGACCTGATGCCGCCCCTGACATCGTCCATGAGCGACGACTGGGCGCCCGACAATCGCATGGTGGCCTGCAAAGTAGTGGAGAGCCTGCTAGTTTACCTCAAGGTAGGTATATTAGCAGCAGACCAGGGAGCGTGTGTGGTCTTTCCTTGTCCATCTCTATCTCTTTCTCTGTGTGTGTGTGTGTGTGGTGTTTGTTGTGTTTGCAGGGTGAGAGGGGCGTTGACAGTATGCTGTACGAGAAGCTCTACCCGGAGCTGCTGAAGCGCCTCGACGACGCACAGGACGACATCCGTCTGGCGGCGTGCAGCGCCCTCACCGCCCTGATGAACGCCCTGCCGGCCAACTGGTCGCCCACATTGGTCGAGTACATTCTGCAGACCCTCTTCATCCACCTCGACGACCCCAACGCGGCGATTCAGGACGCCGTGGCCGACGTGCTCAAGGCCGCCATGAAACACAACACTGAGGCGTTCCTGAAGGTCAGGTGAAGGAGATAGATGGGGAGGGAGGATGGGGCAAGACGGTGGGGGTGTAAGCGTGCGTTGTGTTGCGTGTGGGTGTGGTGTGTGGATGGGTCAGGAGGTGCGTGCTGCGGCACCGAAGAGTGCACATCCCCGGCGGTGTGAGGAGCTGCTTCGAAGTGCCGAGACGCTGCGGCTGGAGGCCATGCAGATGCAGGATAGCCCCGAGCAGTAGACAAAGTAGATCCAGATACTTACTGGTGGGGCATCTGCTGTTTCACCGGCGTAGGCGGTGGCGGCGGGCACGGTTCCCCTGACAAACCACGCCCTCTGCCAACGCACATGCCTTCGAGACAACAGATGGTCCACACAGCACAGTCTCTAGTTGACATCGGCTGCGGTTGGCGGGGGCAGGCAGGTCGAGTTGGCTAGAGTAGAGCGTGTGTAGTGTCGATGCATATTGGTGTGTGTGTGTGTGTGTACATACAGACAGACAGAGGTGGCCGATAGCTATCTACGACAGACAGAGACAGAGGCCATCCATTTAACCAATCATCATCATCATCATCATTATCATCATCATCATCAGTTGGCCATGTTGGCGGCGAAATCACGTCCAAGTAATCAGTCAGGCACACGAGTACGCGCATTACAACATGTACCTCACTCTATTCCTCGGCTAAGTCCTCGCCCTCAATGTAAATTCTGAGAATCCGACGGGGGAGCGATGGCGGGTGACGTGATGGTGTGGCGGGATGCCTACAAGTCGCTGCTGCAGCAGCTCACGGACCTCGAAAAGGAAGCCGCATGTGAGCACAACCGCTTGGAACAACGACTGAACTTGATGCTGCATCCATATCCATCCACCCTTTCCTCTTTCTCTGACGGATACGTACCGTGGCATGCAGGTGTCCAGGTTTTCTGCCGCACGAGACCCCCGGCAGACGAGGCCGCGTCATCCATATGTGAGATCACATCTCAGAGCAACCAGATAGCCATCCTTGACCCAGGTGAGCTGACTCTGCAGCCATATATAGTACTGATGCGATGCAGCGGGACGGACATTGCCATGGTCTGCTGTGCAGGTCGGCGAGGCACATCTTCCCGCCGCACCTACTCGTTTGATAGGGTGTTTGATCCATCAGCATCGGGTAGCCAGGAAGATGTCTTCGGCAGCGTCCGGACGGCCTGTGGAGCTGTGTTGAGGGGCAGATCGCTGTGTGTGTTCGCCTATGGGATGACCGGGGCGGGGAAGACGCACACGATGACGGTATGTGCGCTCTCATTCCAGTGGGTGGAGCTGGCCATCTGCTTATGTGTACGTGTCTGTCTGTCTGTGTGGTTCGGTGCTGCAGGGCACCAGCGAAGAGCCTGGCCTGACCCCTCGCGCCCTCGACTTCATCTTCCAGGTCACGCCATCCCGCAATCATCATCGCTCAGCACAGATTGTCGTTTCGCCCGTGTCTTGGCTGCAGGAGATTGATGCCGCCAGACGCCGCTCACCCGACATCAAGATACGCGTAGGTGCATTTGGAGGCCGTCACACCACTCACTCCACTCACTCAACACTCTCATTCTTGTTGTGTCCTTCCCTTCATGCTCAGGCTAGCGTGAGCGTTCTAGAGGTCTACTGCGAGCAGATTCGCAACCTCCTGGACGACATCCCGACTACCGAGGCGAGAGGACCACACGGCACTGCAGATGGTGGTGCCTCCAGTTCCAGTGGCCTGCGAAACCGCACGCAGAATACGACCATACCGGTGAGTGGAGGGCCGCAGGGCCCCCATACTGGCACCATTGTCGCATCGACTGCCGTGCAGGAGTGGACTGAGGTGGAGGTCCAGGATGCGAAGGAGGTGTGGCGTGGAGAGAGAGACGCCATGACAGTACAGTACCGACGCACTCATGTGTTCTTGTCCGTGCGGCCGGCCTTGCTACAGGCGTTGCAGCTCATGCAGAAGGGCTCGAGCCGCCGAGCGGTCGAGGCGACGCTCTGCAATGCCAACTCTAGCCGATCACACTGGTCGGGAAACGACGCGCACCCATCCCATCCCACACACACATCATCCATCCCCCACCCTTGTCTGCCTGCACTCGTCCTTCAGTTTGTCGTGTTTGACGGTGACCGTCGAGGAAGGCTCTGAAGGCCCCAAGACGGGACGTCTCGCTCTCGTAGATCTAGCAGGTGGGCAAATCGGTGGATGGATTTAAACGGCCATTTCTGCTCTCATCCTTGTGCGTCTATCTGTCAGGCTCCGAGCGCATGTATAAGTCTGGAGTTGACGGCCGTGCGCTGAAAGAAGGCGCCTACATCAACCGCTCCATCAGCGCCCTTGGTACTTTAGAGACCAGAAAGATGTCTGTCTCCAGCCAGACGTGTATCCCTCCCTTCTCTTTCTCTTTTGTAGGTGATGTGATCGAGGCCGTCGCGTCGAAGCAGCCCCACGTGCCCTTCCGCAACAGCAAGCTCACCCTGCTGCTGCAGGACCTTCTCACACACTCGGCGCGCCTCGTCATGATCGTCCATGTCAGCACTCGACCAGAGGACTACCACGAGACACTCCACTCCCTCCAGTGGGCATCTCGGTTCAAGGTAAGACCAGACATCGTAGACACCGTAGACCAGGTGCTGCGTGTCTGCAGGGCGCCGACTTTGGCGCTGTTGGTGTGAGGGCCCGGCGTGACGAGGCGGAGATCACCAAGCTCAGGGCGGCTCTCGCCAAAGCCAACGAGGAGATACAGACACTGCAGGCAGCCGCGGAGCAGCTGCAAGAACGCGCCAAGGACCGCGCTGGCAGCCAGGTGAGGGTTGAACAGACAAAAACCCCATGCACGCCGGCCTCTCATTTATCTCTCTACCTAACCTAGGATCGTTTGGCTGCTGCGTTGCGTGAGCTCGAGGGTCTGCGTGAGTCCAAGGCGCGGCTGGAGCAGGAGCTGCGCAGGGCAAGTGAGACACTAGCGGCACAGGAGAAAGAGGTGAGTGAACTGACTGACACATTGGTGCACACAAAGGATGTTCTATTGCATCGTCAGCTGGAGGACCAGAGGGCTCTCATCGCGCGGCTCCAGTCCACACAAGACAATGACAACGTAACACACACACACACACACACAACATACCCGACCACCCGAGAGAAGAACCCCCATCTTATGCTCTCATCAGATGCCCCCTCCCTCCCGCATCCCCTTCGCCCCCAGCCTCCCCCGCCCCGCCAAGCGGCGGCAGGACACCCCATTCCCACACCGACGGGTGGCACGCAAGCGGGCTGAGCACCTGGACAACCACCACGACGGCCACCAGCACCATCACCCTAAATTGGAGGACGGCCCTGTCCCCTTCAGGACGATGATGGACATCGATAAGGATGTGGGACGGGATGGAGACGCCGGACAGGTTGAGACGGGCGAGGGTGGCCAGGAGGGTGATGAGGGGATTCCCCAGGCGTTCGGCAGTCGCAAGTTGGGGTTCAGTCCGCCGCCACGCAAGCGGGACGTGAGGGACGACGCAGAGGACGATGACCACCAAGGCGAGAAAGACAAAGAGCAGTCTGAGAAGAGAACTTATCCAAACTCCAATCACAGATCACTTGTGTGTGTGGCTGGTGTCGCAGATAACGATATGGCGGCTCCCATCGACACCACGCCACCTCAGGAGATTCATGCGCTTGAGCAGGTACAGCACGAGCTGGCCCAGGAGGGGGCTGGGGAGGGAGACGGGGAGGGAGCAGAGGCGGACAAAGGGGAGTGGGCCGAGGAGGGCAACAGGGTGTCCCGGCTGCGGAGATCTCCCGTGTACAACGTCTACCGGGACCGTCGACTTCGGTCGTGCATGAAGCGAGGGATCCGTAAGCAACCCTTTCACACCACACCGACCCACACAGACCCCTTCCATATTCATCCCAATATGCATCGCTGCCTGCGTGTGTCCTCGCAGCCTTCGGGAAGCGCCCTAAGCGTTCCCAGAAGACCGTCCGGCAGTTGCTCGGCCTCAGCCCCATCCCCAACGCCATGGACATCACACCACCAAAGGCAGTGACATTCAACGAACAGGTAAACCACCACACACCGTCGCCATCACCATCAGCAACCAAATCACGCCTTCCATCGTGTGTTCCTAAAGGTGGAGGTGTTCGAGCCCCCTCCCCTTCCATCTCCCGAGCCAACACCTCCTCCACAGGCACCGCCTCAGGCGGCTGCCGGCCGCGGCCGTGGCAACAGGCGTGGGGCGCTGGTGCGCCGCCCGCCCACACCGCTGCGGCCGGCGAGGCCGCGAAGGCAGGCGGGCCAGAGGGGCCGGGGACGGGGCATGTAGCTGGCAAGGGTGGCAGGGCAGGAAGTCAGTGTGAGGGTGGACTGTTTGTTCTCTTGTTGCCTTTGTGTGCGCTGCTGGCCGGGACACAAACTACATGATAGATGAATCGGCGCGACAGAAGGGCCATGGCAGATTGAACGACCGATTCATCAATTCTCTTCAGAGAGTCACCCGTCACCTTGTGCACCCTGCACATATGTGCGTGGACCTGCCGCATGCCTGTTGCTACGCCTATTTCCAATTCTGCAATCGGTGCGAGCTAAGCTAGAGTACTAGCTCGCGCCGTCGCGGGTGACAGCTGAGGCCTTGACTCGTGCTGCCGAGGGCACGAGGGGCAGAGATCTGCCACATCCTTGTGCAACTCATCAAACGATGCTGCGGCGGCATCTGCTGATGGCAAGGAGGCCTCTCTGGCCGTCCTTCCTCCGCGCCTTCAGCACCACTGTGGGCGCCACCACCACCGAGAGGCAATGCCGTCCCATCAAGAAGCTGCTCATCGCCAACCGAGGCGAGATCGCCGTCCGCATCTGCCGAGCTGCCAAGGAGAGGGGCATTCAGACTGTGGGGATCTATGCCAAGGAGGACAGCCAGGCGCTGCACCGGGTGGTCATGGACAGGTCCTTCGTCGTGGGCGAGAGGCTGGCGCCGGTGGCTGCCTACCTCCACTACCCCGAGATCATCAAGATTGCCGAGCAGCAGGGCATTGACGCCATTCACCCGGGGTAGGTGGGGCACTCGGCTCGGTCACCCCTCAAGCACTTCACGCATTGACCATACCATGCACACGTGTTCTATGCTGCTGCTGACTTGTGTTGTGTGAGTCAGGTATGGCTTTCTCTCTGAGAACGCCCACTTCGCCAAGGCCGTGGAGGACGCCGACATCATGTTCATTGGCCCCCACCCCCACATCGTGCACCAGATGGGCGACAAGGTCGAGGCCCGCAAGATCGCCATCGCCGCCGGCGTCCCCGTCGTCCCCGGCACCGAGAAACCCATCGAGGATGTCAACGAGGCCGTCAAGGTCATCGAGGAGATCGGCTGCCCCGTCATGCTCAAGGCCGCCTATGGCGGCGGCGGCCGCGGCATGCGTCGCGTCTTCAGCATGGCCGAAGCGAGGGAGGCCTTCGAGCGGGCCACGTCAGAGGCCAAGAGCGCGTTCGGCAACGGTGCGATGTTTGTGGAGAAGCTGATCCAGGGAGGGCGGCACATCGAGGTGCAGATCATGGGCGACCACTACGGCAACGTGGTGCACCTGTTCGAGAGGGACTGCACCGTCCAGAGGCGGCACCAGAAGGTCGTGGAGATCGCCCCAGCGCCATTCCTGACCAACGAGATACGCGAGAAGATCCTTGCGGACGCCGTCAAGCTGGCCAAGCACGTCGGCTACCAAAATGCCGGTACGCACACAAATGCGCACCCCACCGCACACCAACAAAGATGCATCCGACTGTCCCTCCCTCCCTGTGTGTCGGCTCGCTTCAGGCACTGTTGAGTTCCTGCTTGACAAGGACGACCGGCACTACTTCATCGAGGTCAACGCACGGCTGCAGGTGGAGCACACCGTCACCGAGCAGGTCACCTCGCGAGACCTCGTCAAGACCCAGTTCGCCGTCCGCGAAGGCGCCACGCTGCCCGCACTCGGCCTCACGCAGGACAATCTCCACTGCAACGGCGTGGCCATCCAGTGCCGAGTGACCACGGAAGACTCCCAGCGCAACTTCACCCCATCCACCGGGCGAGTGGACCTCTACGCCCCTGCGACGGGGCTGGGCGTGCGGCTGGACGCTGCGCTGGCTGCGAGTGGCGCGGTGATCACGCCGCATTTCGACTCGCTGCTGGTCAAGGTTATCACCAGTGGAAAGGTATGCAATCAATTGTGTGGGGCAGACAGAGGTGGGAGAAGGGAATTGATAGATATCGGACATGTGGCTTGGCTATGTGGGTTTGATGTATAGGATTTCCCTGAGGCGTTGGGCAGGACGGTTCGCGCGATGAAGGAGACGAGGATCCGTGGGGTGGTGACCAACATCCCCTTCATACTCAATGTCCTCTCACACGAGAAGTTCAAGACGGGACAGGCCACGGTGAGTGAGTGGTCTAGCTAGCCGGGGCATTGCATGCATCTGGTCTGTGTGTGTGCGCGTGTTGATCAATCAGGTCCAGTTCATCGACGACCATCCCGAGCTCTGCAACTACGACCCATTCGACCTCTCGTCTCAAAACCTATGTATGTGTGTACTGTCGCACACACATACGGACACAAAATACACACACATTTCGCCATGCTCCCTCCCTCTCCATCCACAGGTCGTTATCTGGCCGAGGTGGCGGTCAACGGCCCCCAGACGTCACTGGTCAACCCAGACGTGCTGCCCGACCGCACCCCCGCCCACCCTCCTCATATCGAGGCCGCACACCACATGCGGCTCCCACAGGGCGGCGGCAGCTGGGCCGGTGCACCCGAGCGCCTCGCTGGGCACGGACCGGGCGACGTGCCTAGGTCAGCCAAAGGCAGAGAGGGGGAAGAGAGAGAGTGTGGGTAATTAATGGTGCAGAGAGTGTTGATGGGATGGGTGCACTGACTGCAGGGGTTACAAGAACTTGCTCGACGAGCTGGGCCCGGAGGATTTCGCGAGGGTGATTCGGTCGGAGTCGCGGCCGCTGCTGACCGACACGACGATGCGCGACGCCCACCAGTCGCTGTTTGCCACACGAATGCGGACACACGACATGCTCAAGGTCGCACCGGCCATCGCACACACGCTGCCACAACTCTTCTCACTCGAGAACTGGTGGGTGGGTGGCTGAGAAGAGAAATTGACAGCAGCAAACGCACTGCAACAAATATGGGGGGAAAACACTCTCTCTGTGTGTGTGGCGGTATCTATATGTGTGTGTAGGGGTGGAGCCACGTTCGACGTGTCTTACCGGTTCCTGCGCGAGTCGCCGTGGAAGCGACTGGAGCTGTTGCGCGAGGCCATCCCCAACATCCCGTTCCAGATGCTGCTCAGGGGGGCCAATGCTGTGGGATACACTGCCTACCCCGGTGCACACACCACACCACACCACACCACACCGTCACGCCACGGCAGGGGTCCCTGCATGAGTGTGTCTGTGTCTGTGTCTGTGTCTGTCTTCATATATGCAGACAATGCCGTGCACAAGTTCTGTGACGAGGCGGTCAAGTACGGCATGGACATCTTCCGCATCTTCGACTCCCTCAACTACCTCGACAACCTGAAACTGGGGATACAGGTACACTGCACACACGTGTCAGTTCAGTCAGTGTGTTCTGACTGATGCGCTGCGCAGTGCACGTGTGTGTGATCTGATCTATCTATCTGTGTGTGGCTGGCTGGTATGTGTGTTGACTTATGTTATGCCGACAGGCTGTGGGTGCGGCTGGTGGTGTGGTTGAGGCGGCCATCTCTTACACGGGCAACGTGATGGACAGGGACAGGAAGCCGTACACCCTCGACTACTACATGGACCTCGCCCGCAAACTCGTCGACGAGAAAATACACATACTGGCAATCAAAGACATGGCCGGTGGGTGAGCTTAGCTTCCTTTTTCCCCTCGCCCACAACACAACACAACACCCACACAAACAACACAATGCCCTCTTTGCCTGCCCTCTGACCGTCGGTGTGTCTGTGTCTGTCTGCAGGCCTCCTAACCCCTGGAGCAGCGGCTTTGTTGGTGGGCAGTCTGCGTCAGGAGTTCCCCAACATGCCCATCCACGTCCACACACACGACACGGGCGGCGTGGGCGTCGCGTCAGTTGTGGCGGCAGGTGCGTGCGTATATATGTGCACCGAGAAGGATAAATATGTCCATCCTTGTGTGTATGTGAGTGTTCAGCTCAATCTGGTGCGGACATAGTGGACACGTGCATGGACAGCATGTCTGGGCTGACATCGCAGCCGTCGATGGGGGCGGTGGTGGCCTCCCTCCAGCACACACAGTTCGACAGCGGCATGCACCTCAGGGAAATGGCTCCCATCAACGACTACTGGGAAAAGGTGCACACACACACACACAGACAGACAGACAGACAGAGACGCACGACCCACACCATATGGTGTGGTGTGTGTTTGTTGGGGGATGGGGTGGGGGGGACAGGTGCGTCGTTTCTATGCCCCATTTGATTGCACAACCACCCTTAAGAGTGGCAGCTCTGAGGTCTATGTGCACGAGATCCCTGGCGGCCAGTACACCAACTTACACATGCAGGTAGGGTAGGTCAGGCAGGCAAGGCAGGCCAGGCGATGAAGCCGACAGACAGACAGACATATGTGTGTATTGATGCAGGCGTGGTCTCTGGGGATGGCTGACAAGTGGCACGACATCAAGAAGGCATACACCGACGCCAACATGCTGATGGGTCAGTCAGTGCACCACCCACACACAACACCACACCACCCACACACCTCATTTGTCCACACCACATCCGTGTGTGGTGTGTGCAGGTGATCTGATCAAGGTGACCCCGTCGTCCAAGGTCGTCGGCGACATGGCCCAGTTCATGGTCCAGAACGGCGTCACGCCAGACAACATCCTCGAAAAGGCTGACAGCCTCTCCTTCCCTCAATCCGTCGTCGAGTTCTTCCAGGCACGCTTCCCCCACCCCTCCCCCCACCCCTCCCCCCCTCTGTGAGTGATGCCCCGTTCCTTCGTTCGTGTGTGGTCAGGGCTATATCGGGCAGCCGCCCTTCGGCTTCCCCGAGCCGCTGCGGACCAAGGTGCTCAAGGGGGCCAAGCCCGTCGAGGGCAGGCCTGGCGCGCACCTGCCGCCCGTCGACTGGGGCCACCTGCGGGCGGGGCTTGAGGAGAAGCATGGGCGGAAGTTCTCGGAGGCCGACCTTGTGAGCTCGGTCATGTACCCCAAGGCAAGTGGACAGACAGACGGACCACGGCAGCAGAGGCGGGCAGGCAGGCAGGCAGACAGACAGGCACGTGTGTCTGTGCGCTGTGTCTGGGTGCCACACAGGTGTTCGACGAGTACCAGGAGTTCCGCAAGAAATTCGGCGACGTCTCCGTGCTGCCCACGCCACACTACTTCGTGGGATGCGACGTACGCTACACGGACCCAATCTCCCCCTCCCCTCCGCCACACACAACAGTCACCCCCACCAATCGCATGCATGACGTGTGTCGCTCGCTGTGTGCGTGGCATTGAATGGTTGGTCAGCCTGGTGAGGACATCACGGTAGACATGGCCGGCCGTGAGGTGCACCTCAAGTACATCGCCAAGACACATGTGCTGAGCGACGGGACGCGTGAAGTGTACTTCGAGGTCATGGGGCTCCCCAGGTCGGTCACCGTCAAGGACCAGACAGCCAAGGCGGTAAGACACCCACTGATGGATGACACACACAGAGAGAGAGAGAGAGAGAGCGAGAGAGAGAGGCGCCAGAGAAACCAGAAGGCCGCTCTCTGCGTGTGCTGTGCTGTGCAGGAGATCAAGGCCAATGTCAAGGCCGAGACGAGCGACCTGAAGCAGATCGGCGCCCCCATGCCGGGCAACATCCTCAGCTACAAAGTCGGCGAGACCCACCACGTCAAGAAGGGCGACCCGCTCGTCATCCTCTCCGCCATGAAAATGGAGACCGTTGTGGTACGGCTGTCGGGGCCCCTGCACAAACACACTGCACATGGATGGATGGATGGGCGTGTCTGTCTGTCT